AGAGACTTTGCGTATGTGCCTCATGAAGCGCTTTATAAGACGGAGAGCATCATGATTGGCCTGTTTCAACCAATCACCAGTAAACAATCCCCGTGACATAATCAGGCCAACTAATCGATAATGACATTCGTTGACAACGATTTTCATAATCGATTATAATTGATTTTATCAATTAGTTGTTGCAGCCCTAAAATAAATGATAAAATCTTAAGACTCCAACATTTCTCTTTGTAGTGTTGTTCAGGTTTGATTCTAATCATAATGTAATATTATTGAAAACATTTTTTTAGTACAAAAAATGCTAAACTTTGAGAAAGTATTTTTATTTTTTGTTATAATTGTTATTTTATCAAATTTAGATGAATCCAACTTGTGAAAAGATACCTTTGGTTAGTCAAATAGCAAATAGTGGAGCTCTATGGCCATATAGTGGTTAAAGTGTGTGTTGTTTTTTTTTAACTGCATTTTCCACAAAAAAAATGGATAGAAATCTTGCATTAAACCATGTAAAATTATCCATGCTATCCACATGAATAAAAATTTGAAATTTGGGTCTTTTATAAAATGAATTTTACATTAAATGGAGTTTAAAAAAAAGCCATTTAAATGAATATTTATTTATAGAAATTAAAAAAAGTTATCATAAATCCTCCAAAAACTGCACAAATGTTGAGTAAAAACATTAATAAATCAAGTAAATTTATATTAGTAAAAAAAAGGGGTTTTTTTTCCAACTAAAAATGTGTTTTAGGTGCAATACAAGTGCAGAATTATTTTTTGCTTAGTGATGTGTGTTCAAGTAAGTGTGTTCAAGTAAGCCAGAAATGTGCAGATTCTGTGCAATACACTGTATTTAATATATCATGAGGACAGGTTGCATATTTGGTGCAAGGGGGCGGGCCTTGGCCAAATGACTCCCATGAGAGGAGGCTGTTTATACAGGGATGCCAGAAACCTACATTCACAAAGTAAAGGGTCAGAGGAAGGAATGTTAATTTTTGCAGAACGCCTCTAATATCCCTGGCACAGCCTAGGCCTAGTGAGGGCCAGCCTGTAAGCATAGATCTATCTGAGGGCTCAGAGGAGCCATAGCCTATTAAAGAATATAGTCTGAACGTTTCTGCAGCCCTTTGTATGGAATAAGTCAATCTAATGAAAACTCAACATTGCTCAAGGGATGAAATACTCAGAAAAGTCAAAATGGTCCCATGGGACAGACATAAGATCTATCTGAAGCTCTAGCATCATTCACCACTCTAAGTAAAACATCTTATAGAGGGACCAACTACTCTACCCTGAGGTGGCTTAAAGCCTGAAGGCTAACATAGTTATCGTTCTGGCTACCTAACGGGGAACTTCAGGCCCCTAATAATCCAATAACTTCTCTTACCTTATTACCTTGCCTGTTACATGGCCCCATAACTCCAGGGAACAAGGTCTGTAAAGAGAAAACATTATTTTTTATCTCAAAAAATACTCTTTATAAAGACCAGCAGCTGACCTGCGGCATGAAAACTGAAGACTTGCCAGATATTTCTTACGAGCCTGGGATCCCCCACGTTACATGCCTGAAAGGGGCGTTTCCAATTACCAAGCTTAGGTGGGCCATCAGAACACAGTTCTCATCATAGGCCCATCCCCAGGCCTGATGTAATGAACGCCTGGGGGTCAAAGGAGAGAGGGCAGATTTCGAGACCCTCCGAGGAGGTTATCCATTACTGACGCAGTGTGCGTTTGTACTGGATAACTTCCCTCAAATCTACTCTGTTGCGGGAGTCACGCCTCCTCTGCAACCTGCTCCTCGAGGGAGAGGGCGCATGAGAGGCGACACTGGCTCGCTGGCCCGGCCTACGGTCCTCAGACCGTGAAGGGTCAGGCTCTCCCGCCTGCCCGGGTGCGGGCCGGGTCTACAGGTCTTAAATAAGATATACAGGTCAAAATGCGGTATACAGGTCACCCCCTCTACGGAGGTGCCAGAGAGTTCGGAAGGCGAAACTGGTGAATCGAGGAGAAAAGCCTTTTCTTTCTCCCCCATGCCGGCTAAATTTAGCCACAGATGCCTCTTCGTGGCCACCATCGCCGCTATCGACCAGCCGATCGTGGTGGCGGTTTGCTTGGTAGCCCGGAGAGCCAGATCTGTGGTACGGTGCAGCTCAGCCATCTCCTCAGGGGACATCCCTGCACCCTGGTCAAGATCCCCCAGTAGGTCGGCCTGGTATGCCTGCAACACCGCCATAGTTTGCAGTGCAGCACCGGCCTGACCTACTGCCGTGTACACTCTGCCATTCAAACGAGCCGTTGTTTTCAGCGGTTTGGATGGCATGGTTGGAACTCCAAGATACGAGATCAATGGGCTCGTCAATGGGCGGCATTGACACGTACCCATGCTCTCCGATCCCTTCAACATTTGCGAAACTGGCCCGCTGATGTTGGTGAATACAGGCAGAGTATGGGTTCTTCCATGCCTTCTCGATCTCCAAGTGAAGATCAGAAAGGAATGGAAGGCTCACCCGAGCTGGTGGTGTTTGGCCGGGGAGAAACCGATCATCGAGCCTACCGGGAGCAGTCTCTCCTCTTGCGCTCCATCACATCCACCTGCTCTGCATACACATGGAAGGGTGGCTGAGGAGGTATTAGGATCTACCTGATCATAAACCTCAACCATTTTCTGCGTGTCCGGAAGAGCCGCAACTGCAGAAACGGTCGGTAAGTCATCTTCCACATCTTCGCCCTCGTCAGCCATCAAATCATCTGAGAGCTTAACAGGCCTCTTGAGGCGATCAATGAGCTCCATCTGGGAACCCCATGACGCAAGTCGTCGCTCAGCCTCGGCACGAGCGAGACCTGCACCATGAAGACCAGACGCTAAGCCCCCTTCACTCGAAAAGAGGGATAGACGAGAGCGGACCGTTTTAATAGAAAAACTCTCGCAGTTTGCTCAGAAAGCTCCCTCAAACTTCCCGTGCGTATTCTCCCGTGTGTGTCAGCCGGTCTCACAAACCTCGGACACGGGTCAGCACACTTGCGAAAACAAATCAGCCTTTGTTGTGCGTTTCATATCTTACCTTTCTCTGATGTAACTTGAGTAGCGTTTCATACTAACAGTCCCTGAAGACGATGAGATGATTTGTCATGTTTGCAAGGCGCCCTTATGTACTTCCAGGTCGCACGTTAATCATTCATGTTAATGATTCACGGGCTGTCGCCGATCAATGTGATTGACGTGACTTGATAGTGATTTCAGACACCTGTCACGCCTGAGGCGTTTCCCCAAAGCGTCATCTGACGCAGTGCGAGTTCCCTTCGAAAGGGAACTCATTCTTTCCTTACTTTCTTTCCTTCTGCAACTCGTATGAATTTGTGTGTGTATGTTTGATATTAGTTTTATATGTTGAAAGTCTTGTTTTTACTAAGAGAAGTGTTCTTGTGTTATGTCCTTACGAATTTAATGTCTTGCACTGCTGATTTATGTTACCTAGTTAATAAATAGTGTTTTCACTAGGGCTGTCGACTAATCGGTCGATGCCGTCTTGGTCGACTGACATTCTTATTGGTCGACCAGTTGCTTTTTTTTTTTTTTTTTTTTTTTACCAATAGAAAGAATTTTTCAATGATTTACTCCTTGATATTTATTCTTTTATAAGCTGTTATTTGTTACTGTATTCTAAATATAATTAGCCTATGTTTTGTCCCCAACTTTAAAATGCTTTAATTTAGGCTATTTTTGTAACTGCGCCACAGTTTAGCGCACACACATAATACACTCGGGAACCGCACCTGTGGCTGGCTGCGCTGCTGCTCGCGCTCGGTAAGGGATGCTGTATTCATTCAGTTAGAACGCTGCTTGTTTTGGCTTTAGTCGCCTAAATGTTCAGGAAATCTAAATCTTTTGTCTGGCTGCATTTTAAAACGACAAGACTGTGGAGGGAGGTTTCGCCTACATTTGAAATCGAACTTGAGCGCGCAAAAGACGTGAGCAGCCTTTTAACGGCTATATCATGCTGACTCAATAGATTGTGTTTTCTTAATCCTTTAACGTGCATTGTAACCGTGCGGTTGACTTTTTTTCCGCGGTCAAATTCCTGTTATTAATACGCGCCAAACCCCATTTTTAGCTGTTTGTTCTTATTCCTCTCACTGAATAGAATGTGTAATGACAAGTATATCCACTGGGTGGCAATGTTGTACTAAAATATGTGTTGCTGAGACGAGCTGAATCTGAACCGGAAGATTATTGTCGTGATCTCTCTTCAAACAATGGCTGCCAGTGACGTGAAAATTAAAGGTAAGACATTTTTTGGTTGGATTTCATGTTCTAGACTTCCTAATGATTATCTTTTTGTTGAATGGAAGAAACGTGATAATAAAATGTATCTCTCTGTTGCCTCGGAAAAGTTGTGTGACCGCTCGGTTGAGTTGCCCAGTTAGGGTAAACACTGAACTGGACTCTAGCCAAATTAGCACAGCAGCGCGATCGTGACTCAGTATAATACACCCTGCAGGATCATGCGGCCTATTTCTTTGCTAGACTATATTTATTTTACCCTTATTTATACGGCCTGTGGTTTACCTTCAGATTCTAAATGTAATACTCTTTACTCTTTACATATTACGAAATGAACCATTAGTCCTACTCATTATTTTTGCAATAGCCATCATAGCTGAGGCTTATTGACTAACACTACGTTATGCATTGAATAGCTACAACTACGTCTGTCTCGATGGGAATAAACATTACATTTTTCTGTTCAACAATCTGACAAACATACGATAATGAGACTGTAATTGAATTGATGATTGGACATTTTTGGCTTTATTTAGCACAGTAAACTTACCTTATCAGTCACGCTTCAACATTTTCTGTCTCTTGTCTAATTTTCTGTCTCTTAATCTAATTTCATGGTTGAGTGTTATCCAGTTTGTCATACATAGTACAAAGAGTATTTTTTAGCATATTTAATTTTTTCTTAACAAATTAAAATAAGTCATAATGTGCCTGTATGTTGGGAGAACAGTTTATCAATATGACAATTGTGCATTTATTATGGATAGATGTAACTGATGCACTGATTACTCAAGACACAGTTTGCGACCCTACACTGTACAGTAATGTTTATTATGTTCCATCTCTTTCAGACATAATGGACTGCCGTACATTTTATGGACAACCCAGATCTACCTCTAGCACTATTGTACTTTTACCCGCTGATCCATGTGACTCAGAAGTGGAAGACCTCAGTGATCCAGACGATGGAGAAAATGAAGATTTTGTCCCTCCACGCAGTATAGATTTACCGCCCCCTTCAAAGAAATCGAGGAATAGAAACAGGCTTGTTGAGGTATCTTCAGACCTCAATCAAACTCCCTCCCCTCCTGCAAAGTCCAGGAAGACCAAATGGGTCAAAAAGGACATTCCAACCTTCACTCTGCCCGAGCCTGTCTTCGAGCTTCCAGAGTTGGTCCAGACGCCATTTCTGTATTTTAAGAAGCTCTTTACTGACCAGATGATTGTGCACATAACTGAGCATACCAACCTGTACTCAGTTCAACAGACCGGGACATCCATCAACACCACTGCTGCAGAAATTGAGGTTTTCTTGTCAGTTTTGCTCTACATGGGTGTTTTTGAATTTCCCTCTTTGGAAGATTACTGGGCCTGTGAGTCACGCTTCCCACCAGTGGCTGATACCATGTCAGTGAAGCGCTTCAAACTGCTCCGAAGATATGTCCACTTCAATGATAACTTCCAGATGGAGGGCTGCCCTGACCGCTTCCATAAGATACGCCCTCTTTTTGACATGTTCAGAGAACAATGCCTTCTTATTCCACCTACCAACAGGCAAAGTGTTGATGAAGTGATGGTGGCTTACAAGGGTACCAGAGCTGGCAAACTCAGGCAGTACATTCAGAACAAGCCGGATAAGTGGGGGTTTAAGGTCTTCTGTCGGGGCAGTGACTCTGGCATCATCCACGACTTCATATTGTACCAAGGCTCCACAACATTCTTCAACATTCAAGAGGAAGAGCATGCACATCTGGGCTTGAAAGACCTCCTCCTTGGCGCCAAGGTTGTCTCAATACTCTGCAACACTATCGTACACAAAGAGGCAACTGTGGTGTTCTACGACAACTTCTTTACCAGCTTCAACTTGGTGAAGACGCTGCACACCAACCTGGGACTGAGAAGTGTGGGTACCGTCAGGGTAAATCGCACAGGTAATGCACTTTCAGTAAATATGTTAATCATGTTAGTTACACAATCACAACCAAATCAAACCATGCATGCACACACATTTTTCTTCTGATGCAGATATACTGTACACATGCCTTCCATTTGTTATAGATATTATATTAGTGTTATTGTGAAATTTGTGTTGCATGCTGTACTCACAAAAACAAATTTCCATGTCTTTCAGGTGGTGCAACATTGATGAGTGATAAGGAGATGGTGAAGCGAGGCCGAGGTTTTGTTGATTTCCGTTCATCAGAGGGAGTCGTTGCAGTAAAGTGGTTCGACAACAAGTGTGTCACCTTGCTGAGCAATGCTTATGGGGTGGAGCCACTGTCTTCAGTGAAGAGATACACAAAGGAGGCGCAACAGAAGGTCGACGTCCCCTGCCCATCCATCGTCTTGGCATACAATCAAGCCATGGGGGGCATCGATCTCTCTGATATGCTTGTGCACCTCTATAAAACACCAATGAAGTCCCGGCGCTGGTACCTGCCATTGTTTGGGTACATCATCGATGTGAGCATTGTGAATGCATGGCTTATGTACAAAAGGGACTGCAGCATTCTCAAACAGAAACCGATGCCCTTGAAGAAGTTCCGTCTGTCGGTGGCAGCTACGTTGAAGGGAGCTGACAAGGTACCTGCCAGGGTTGGCCGACCCCCAGGTGCAAAGCACAAGCCACAAGTCCGTCGCCCCAACCCCCGAGTTCTCCACCCCACCCAGGAAGTCCGATATGATGGCGTTGGACACTGGCCTACATTTGGCACTCAGAGAGGGAGGTGCAACTTGTGCAAAAGTGGAGTGTCGCGTTGGCGATGTTCCAAATGTGGAGATGGGAAGTTGTTCCTTTGTTTGAACAACAAAAACCAGTGCTTTGTTGCATATCACCAGAGATGAGTTAAGAGTAAGGCAAGGATGAGACCTATGCACAATGAGATTTATTTATTTATTTATTATATTTATAGTATATATTTTTAGTTATTTATTGATTACAGTTGTAATTATGTATTTAGTATTGTATTTGTGTGTTACATTTCTTGATTTATATTGTTTACTGTTCACTTTACAATGTTTTTATTTTATGTGTTATAATAAGAACATGTTTTTAAAATAAATGGATTATATTGTTAACATATTCTACTGTCTGTACTGTTTTTATATGAAAAAATATTCAACTTAAGATTCACACAAGAAAAAAATCTATGAATGCCTAATACTAGTTACTTCATGCCGTGAATTACCCTAAATGGGCAAGTCAACCAGGTGGTTGACATGTGTATCTGCTTCCTGATTGGGTCATTAAAAAAAAAAACTGAAAAGTTGCTAAATTTGGACTAAGGAACACCATTTTATAAAAAAAATGTTTTTTGCATATTTATTTCTTAGTGTGACTTTTAAAGGGTTAAGTATCTAAATGTTTGTGCTTTCTGGCATTAATCTGGGATTAACTTTTCTGTCTTTTTTCACCTCAGACCTGATGCCATTGAAAAAGGAGAGTCAAGATCTGAATGAAATGGAAGAGAAAGCTCAGGACAAGACACAAACTTTGAATTGCTCACAGACTGAAACAACTTCCTCACAAAAAACAGCTCAAAAGACAGGGAATATAGGTAATTTCACCTGCCATCTGTGTGGACTAAGTTTCAGAAAGCCGGGAAAACTTGAAGTCCACATGAGAGTTCACACTGGAAGGAAGCTTTACCAATGCCAGGAGTGTGGAGAAAATTTCAGTCAACAACAAAACCTTAAAGTCCACATGAGAATTCACACTGGAGAGAAGCCTTTCACCTGCTCTCACTGTGGAAAGAGTTTCAGGCAAAAAGGAAGCCTTAAAGGCCACATGAGAATTCACACTGGAGAGACCCCGTACAGCTGCAAACAGTGTGGAATTAGTTTCAGGCAAAAAGGAAACCTAACTTACCACTTGATAGTTCATAATAGAGATAAACGTTACACTTGCCAAGAGTGTGGAACAAGTTTCACTAAGAAAGGAGACCTTACAAAACACATGAGCATTCACAAAGTAAAGAATACTTGGATATGCCCAAAGTGTGGAAATACTTTTAACCAACAAGGAAACCTTAAAATCCACATGAAAATTCATTCTGGTGAGAAGTAAAATAAAGAAAAGTAAAGTTAACATTTGTGTGTTAGTGTTTATACAAATGCAGGTATGCCAGACCAACACTTTACGTACTGACACACATGAGATTGCACATTCTTTGTAACGTCAAGATCTATACATAATATGATATGAAACATGTTTGTGTGTGGGGATGCAGAAAGCTTTGAATGAATGTGTTTACTGCAGTGTAAGTGCTGACTGTTGAAGGTACAGACAGCTGTCTTCTCTGACACACATAGACTCTTCAACACACATACACACACAGATGGTGGTCTTTAATCACTGTGCACCTGACATGAGCTTCAGTGGAATGTAAGACTGGTTCACATTATCATTAGATCTCATACAGAACACAAGTCTGTGCTGCATAGGTAAAGAGGTCATGAACTGGCTTTTTAAAATTTATTATATTATTTTCTGAGGTGAACTTATGACGTTCGCTTGGTTTTTGCATTCAAAAACATCAAAATGAATAACTAATAAGCTATTTTGTACCCTAGCTTTGAGCCTAGCTCAGAAACGCACAGCGTTTCGCACTGAAGACTTGGAAGTAAACGCCCACTGCTGTGAGTGTAGAACAGTTTTGCATATTATAATGAGTTTTTCAACTTACCTTGTCGGTGTACATGGGGGAAACAGTTTAGAAAACGTTCAATGTTGTAAAAATGGCAACCGGAATGATTCGCCCATACATGTTCGACCCAGAGTCCGTGTGTTGCACAATTCCTGTCAGATCCAATATAGACGGCACAGCACCGTTCTTTACTCTTAATCGGTCTGCAAATCCAGTCTTGTTTACACAACAATGCTCAGTGAAATGAAGCGAACAGACGGTTTTACCCTCATCAGCTGAAACGTCATTAAAAATAAAGTTTATCCATGCAGTCCTATGTAATCCAGAGAAAGCTTATGCAGCGTCTTCTTCCACAACCAGGCACTGCAAAATATTCTGTATTGCTTGGTAGCTCGATCCAGTTTGTCATCACGAGGTAGGCCTATGTTATTTAGCTATGGTTGTAATGTGCGAATCGGTGGGCGGGGCTAAACCAGCCGTGTTGAAGAAGGAGTTGATCTTCTTCTGCGGGGGTGGGGTTTTATCCTCTTTGTCGTCATAGTTCCCCACTTTTAAAAACGAGTTGTTTGCTGGGGCTGGTGTCAATAAAAGCTTATAATGGACTAACAAGGACGTTTCCAGTTCTGAAACTTACAGGATATTCTTATAATATGATGACCTCTTAGATGTCAAAAGCTCAAGGAAAATAATTTCTCAGTTCATCACCCCTTTAAAGGACTTAACATAACCCGCTGCAATCCTGTAAGTCATTAATAAATGTTAATTTGCTTAAACTAATAAATGACTATTTTTTTATTGTATTTTTTGATTACAAACAGAAGAATATATATATATATATACATACATATACACATATATATATATATATACATACTAGGGGTGGCACGGTACATGAAAAAACACCCGAACCGTTCGGTTCGCTTGTCTCGGTTCGGAGCGTGTGTGCGTCTCACGGTTCGACGCATGCGCAATGCAGCCTCGTGCCTGTATGTGACGTGTGTTTTCTTTTCGCGCGACATAAGCTTGTTCGACTTGGACCGGCGCTGCACAGAGCGACCGGTGAATAACATCAAGCTAGTGCGAGAGTGACGGCTCTGTATGCTTTTCAATCACTTTAGCGTTGTATAGACCATTTCACAAGATGTAAACAACACTGGTCCAGAAACACTTCCTGTTTCAGTTTGTAACTGTTTTCTTTACTTCACATGTAAAGAAAACATCTTAAAGATGTTTGTTTAACTTTTTGATTCAGTTTTATATGTTCTGTTGGTTGTATTTTATCCCAGCTTTTATGTAGTGTTAAAAAACTGAAACAGGAAGTGCTTCTGGACCAGTGTTGTTTACATCTTGTGAAATGGTCTATAAGTCTATGGTACAAGTCCAGTGACTGGGAACATTTTGGATTTCATGTTATGATATTTTAATATAACGCTACAGTGGCACTTTATGTTTAGATAAGAGCTTCAGTCAAATGTTTCCAAATCCTGCACTTTAATTTCAAGTGAAAAAAAGTACCCTCACTCTCTGGGAATAGAAGCATTGTTGATATTGTCTTTTGTGTTTAGGTTGAACTTATGTTTCACTTTATGTTTATGGCCTTTGCTATTGCTATAGCTAATTATAGGCAATGAGGTTTAATGTATATTGACTTATTCTTAAAAGACAGTGTTTTAAGAGTTCCTCTTTTATTCTTTTAAAAGATAGAATTTTTGTAAGAGCTACAAAAGTTGGCAGTTGATAAATGCAAGTTAATTTCTTTGTGTAAATAAGATTTGTGTGATAAAAATGCACAAGTTCTTGTAGACAGTGATACACATTCTCCTTTTTTTTTTGCCAAATAAACGAAAAGCATGTCAATGTCTTCTCTCTTGCTGTGTCAAAATCTCACCTAGCTTTCCTCTGAGATAGTCCGAAAATGTGCTAAAAGTCAAAGAGTCAAATTCAGTTTGTGCATGATTGCATGAATATCATTTTTTTATACTGTATCCTAAAGTGGTAAGCTATATATCACATGCTGAAGTACATTTCTGGAGTGTTAAAGATTAAAAGAAAAAAATAACAAGAACCGTACAGAACCGAAAACCGTGACCCTAAAACCGTGATACAAACCGAACCGTGGGTTTCGTGAACCGTGCCACCCCTAATACATACACCTACATAAATGTCAATTTCTGTATATAAAATCAGAACAAAAAAGAACCCAAAAACAAACAATAGCAAACAGACAAAAAACTAAACAAAAATGGGGTACAGTGCAATCTAGTGACACCTTTGTATCCTTAGTGTTTTATTTCCTATAATAGACTGATTATATCCATTATACAATTACTCAATTTCCTACAAATTCCTTCCATCTCTTCCACAACAGAGCCCCTTTTTGTTTGTTTTTTTAACTTCAAAGAAAATGTAAGGATTTCCATCCTATGTATTTCACTAACAATTACTTTCCAGTCTTCTATAGTGGGTGAAGTAGGTTGGAGCCATTTACAAGTGAGAGCCTTTTTAGCTGCCACCAGGAATATTCTCCATAGGTATATATAATCAGTTTCTTGTAAATCCAGATTTCCCATAAAGAAGGTATACCATTGGAATGGAATTTTTATCCTTAATATGGCCTGAACATCCTTCCAAAATAAGTCGATAACTGGACACGCCCAGATATGTGGTGGTGATTTGCTACTTCTGAATTACAGTTTCTCCAACAGCCTGATCCTACTTCACTAGGGCTCTTTTGAGCGGTTGAAATAAAGAATCTACTTATATTTTTCCAGGCAAATAGCCTCCATTGATGGGAGCCTGTAGTTTTCCATTGGTATTTACATGTTTCTAACCAAGCCTCTTCTGATATAGTGATGTTTACTTCTTTCTCCCATTTAATTCTGATATATGAGGTGGATTCTGGTCTATGGTTTTGGAGACAATGATAAAGTTTAGAAAAAAACTGTAGAAGCCTTTAATGTAGACAGGAGTATCTTCACAAAATCATTTCCAGTTTCCAATTCCCTGTTTTATTTACTGTTGTGTTTAAGTGGTGTCTTATTTGAAAGTATCTTTACAAATCTTGATTTCTCACTTCAAACCGATTCTTAAATTCTTGAAAGGTAAAGAAAATACTGTTGTTTGTGATAGAATAATATGACGTAACTCCTTTCTTAATCCATTTCTTAAAAACTTTGTCTAAAGTATTGGGAGTAAATTCTGTATCGTACGCACACCATCTAATTATCTTTAAAGTGTCTTTCAATTCACATTTTTTAATTATTTTGACCCATATTTCTAGTGTGGTAGTAATCCATGGATATTCTTTATTTATATGGGCTCTTAGTAGTTTATCATCTGCGATTACTAAATGACTCTAATTTAAAACATTGCTTTAACACTTGCGTGTTTGTGGTTTTGAAAACAGACCTTCTTATGTCATGATGTATCAATAAATTATATACTGATGATTTACCATTGGTTTGATCATTATTATCCATCAATTGAGACGCTAAAACAAGTTTGACACTAGTAACAAGTGATTCATAATATATCAACTAGGCTTAATAACTTAACCATCTACTAATGATCTGATTTTATTTATTTCATGGTTTACTATATTTTTTAGGATGACTTAAATAATTACTAAGTAATATGGTAATTATTTACAAATATGTTTTATGAATGTATAGTCATGTTTTGATCCCTCACCTGGCTGATGGAGGACACTGCTGAGTCATCATAATCATTTCATAACCACTTGCTTAGCCAACAGAAAAACTTGCCATTGTAGTAGTGAGGACAAATGACTGCTTTACTTGAAAAGTAATTTACTTGCCTCATAATTTAATTTTCTAATGAGGCCATGTAGGCCTAACCCTGGTTGACAACAAAAATAATGCAAAACAATGAGCCTGATTTAGTAAAGATGAAGCATTCCTATTACAGATACTTTATTCGTGACACCCAAAAGACATGCAGAGATCTGCCAGAAGAGGAGCTAGACAAAGATAATGGTAGAGTATGATACATTCCCCATCATTAATCCTTATGAGAAAGAGATGTGACGGATTCGGGTTGAACCGCACAAATTAATTATATAAATAAAAATGCAGGAGTCAATCGGAAGAAAGGGGTGGAGCATCTTCGGCGGAAATGGACAAATAAAAGTGGAAGTGGAAGTGAAAGGTGGACGGGAAGTTGGTTAATGATGTGTTGAGGTGCAGTGAGTGTGGAAAAAATTAGGAAGCTGCATGCAGATCGAGTCTAGTCGCCGGCGGAGTGACTCAACCAGGATTACCTGCCACTGGATATGCCTTTGGAACTTTATTGCAGAGACTGCAGAGCGCTTGTTTTGCTTACTGCTGAGTATCCTACGGAGCGTGGTCTGGCGCGAACGCTGAAAGTGTCGGTCCCCTTCTGACCGAGACTACTGACGGAGCGTGATCGTTCCTGCGTGCCGAAGCTGCCTGTAAAGTGTGCGGGATCGTTGTCTGGCGTGAACGCTGAAAAGTGTCGGTTCCCATCTGAGACGTGTAGCCTACTGACTGAGCGTCCGTTTCTGCGTGCCGAAGGTGGTGTATTGAAAGAGCCTCCTGTGTGCATGCATGTTCGGATTCAGTGGACCAAGAGGCATTGTTCGTCTTCGGATCTCCTTGCTTCATCTGCGTGCTTCCTAGACTGATAACTCAGGTACTCTTCAAAAACAAACACTACACTGACTATAAACTCAAACTTATCTATGCAGAGCCATTTGCGCCACACACTTACACATCTGCAAATACACGCAAACGAAGAAGCAAAAAATAGCTATTCCGTATACTCCCTGCAAAAGTGTGCCTTATTTATTTATTTTTTGCTCATTGATTTTTTTTGTGTGTGAGTAATTTCTAGCCTAAGTATTTTTTTTTTATAATCTCTTACAACGCACCTCATGAAACTTTTTTTTTTTGATTTATGTGCTTGAGTTGTGTATTTGCATTTATTCTCTGTGGAATTTTTTTTTTCCTTTTTCTTCCTGTGGTGACAATTACATATTACAATTTGTCATTGAAGCTATTGTGTGTAGTTTTTTTTTGTGAACAAATTTCATTGTTGTGTAATTGGTGGTTAGATTTGGGTTAATTTATTAGCCTACATTAAACGATTTTGGTGGATTTAATTCTGCCTGGCGCCCGAATTTCTTTAAGAGTAATTTAAGGAATTTATTTCCAATAAAGTAGGTTGCCACCGTTACAGAGAAAACCAGAGTGGTTCCATCCTCTCACTTGTGGGCTAGGTGCTGCATTTTCAATGATCGCTACAGTGACCGCTTCAAATTTTGTAATCATTAACTTGATTTTTGATTATTCACTGGTTGAACCACAGTTCTTTGTTTTCTCTGTAAACTAACACTTTGAATCTGCTTTCAAGATTTCCATTACACAAGAGTAGATGTTAAAACTTCATGCTGATTTGTACTCGGCTTTCGCCAAGATAAGCACAAATTAAAGGGTTAGTTCACCCAAAAATGAAAATTAAGTCATTAATTACTCACCCCCATGCTGTACCAACCCCGTAAGACCTTCGTTCGTCTTCGGAACACAAATGAAGATATTTTTGATTTTTGATATAAGTGTAACTTATCAGCGTTATCAGTGTAACTTATTAAAAGTGTAACTTATCAGCTGGCTCTGACGGTGGTTAAGAAGATGGGACGTAATGAAAAGTAATGAAACCCCCTCTTCCAACTCCATCAGTTGAACAATGCGTGCTGATCCAGACCACAAAACAATATCTGGTCATAGGTTAGTGGTGGTAATCTCAGGTGGAAAAATAAGCCGTTGATCAAGATCAGCCAGCATTTTCCAGTCCCTAGCAGCTTCCAGTTGTCCTGGGTGAGAATTGGTTTTAACACCTTTTCTTGGTGGCTGCTCGCCTGGGCGGAGGAAAATTGGCTTCTGCATGTAATGTTTTGCTAGAACAGGTGGCAACTTGTTGGTCATGCTACGCTTGCCTTCCAATGCTAAAGCCAAACATCGCAGTACTTGGTCATGGTGCCAAGTAAACCGACCTTGGCTAAGAGCCACCTTACATCCTGTCAGAGTGTGCCTTGATGTGGCGGAAGATGAACACAAAGGGCAAGAGGGATCCTCTCCTACCCAGAGGTTTAGGTTCTGCGGTGATGGGAGAACATCATATGTTGACCTGATAAGGAAACTAATCCTAATCTCTTACATTGACCAAAGGTCTAGCCAGCCCATCTTGCGTTGTTCCACACTCTGTCATCTCATCCACTCTCCCTGCTTGGCCTGGGAAATGGCCTTTATACACCTCATCCTCTCCTCCTGCTTTCGCACCTCGTTGACTACCAGCTTCCTCCTTTGAGCTGGGCCTGCCTTGTGACATTTAGGAGAAGCTAAACTGAGCCCAAAACCCCCTCTTCCATGCTGTACCTGTCCCACAATATCCCCAATTTGAAGGGCAGCCTTTGTCTCTACCACAGATTTCTTTGCTGACCACTTTCTACCAGTTTTTAACACAGGTGCTGCCTCCCTTACACATTTGTCGTGTGACTACTAGGGTAATTTCCAGCCTGACCTTGGCACACTTAAAATCCTCGGTTAAAGCAGAGACTGGCAGCTGCAATATTCCTTTACTATAAAGTCCCACTCTGCTGAGGCAGCGTGGAACTCCCAACCATTTACTGATGTACGAATCAACACTTCCAGCTTATCCACTGTCGTCAAAGAAACCTTGTACACAGTCAGTGGCCACAGCAACCTTGGCCGTTGACCAAACTGAAAGCACCAGTTTTAGTTTGCCTGGTAGAACACAGCTGTTTATGCTCTTTAACCCTTCCACTGCTTGTTGTCTAACTTCTCCCACTCGAACTGTGTCCTTTGGATCCCCATCATACCATCTCCCGAGACTCTTCACTGACTTCTCAGAAACTGTAGGTAGTGCCTCACCATTAATGAAGAATGTTATATCTAATACCTTCCCTTTTACTATCGAGATTCTCCTTGATTTAGCATAAAGGAGTAGTTCACTTTTAAAAAAACTTTTGCTGATAATTTACTCACCCTCATGTCATCCAAGATATCCATGTAATTCTTTCTTCAGTAGAAGAGAAATTAGGGTTTTTGATGAAAACATTCCAGGATTTTTCTTCATATAAGGCACTTTACTGGTAACCAAACAAGGTCCAAAAGACAGTTTCAGTGCAAACTGTTCAAAGGGCTTTAAACGATTCCAGACGAAAAGTCTGTCTTCCATCTGTCTTCGGTTAGTAAATGTATATGATATTTAAAATACAGTATATTAAATGTGCTAACATATGTTATCAATGTTTTTTAAACTGTGGTACGGATACCACTGTTGGCACTCATTTAATGATAACATTACTCAGTTAACTGACATAAATATTCTCATGGCAGACGTGATACCATAAACCATTTAATAGTATACTGTACCTGTTGATTGTATAGTTGAATATGTAACTACAAGTGTACTTGTAATAATATTTATAACAACGTTTTCTAGGTTTCTTGCCACTTGGGACACATTCAGGACGATAGCGTCCAGCTACCGAGTTGGTGTGTCACAGTGTGACAGATCGTCGCCCAGGTAGTGGCTGCCATCTGAGACTGCCTTGTGGAGGACTACATGGCTGTGCCCACCACTGATGACTGGAGGTCCATTGCAGAGGGATTTCAGGAGCAGTGGAACTTCCCTCTGTGCTGTGGAGCGGTGGATGGGAAGCACGTGGTGATCAAGGCACCCCCCAACTCAGGATCCCAGTTCCACAACTACAAGGGAACCTTCTCCATCGTTCTCCTTGCAGTTGTGGATGCGAAGTATCGCTTCCGGGTGATCGATGTTGGGGGATACGGCAGGACCAGCGACGGTGGGATTCTTCTGCACCCCGCCTTTGGACAGGCTCTCCGGGCTGACACACTTCATCTGCCTCCTGACCACCGTCTTCCCGGTGCTGATGAAAGAAGACCCCAGCCCCATGTCTTCGTGGCTGATGAGGTGTTCCCGCTGCGGAGGAACCTCATGCGGCCCTTCCCTGGACGCACCCTTCCTCCAGAGAGGCGTGTCTTTAATTACCGCCTCTCCAAAGCCAGGCTGGTGGTGGAGAACGCCTTTGGCATCCTCACCTCACAGTGGAAGTTGTACCACCGCCTCATCGAGGTCCACCCTGAAGTTGCGGAGAAGTGTGTGAAGGCAAAGTGTGTTCTCCACAACTTCATGAGGTATTCGGAAGGGAGAGAGGCACCTGCTGTGAGGGGCGTGGGACATGCTGGAGAGGAGCCACTGCCAGGTCTGGGTCGGGTTGCGGCCAACAACTCCTCCAGAGAAGCACTCCAGGTGAGGGATGCTTTCATGGCACACTTCTCAGCAGAGGAAGCAGTACCATGGCAGCCGACGGAGTAGCGTTTGAAGTCCTCCTCATTACTTCCCCACGACGGCTCTTTTAAGAGCCACCCACAAACCTATAAAGAGCATAACTTTCTAAAAACTGTTTTCTTCCATTATTATTAGGGATCGACCGATATGGATTTTTTAGTGCCGATACCGATACCGATTTTTTTCCCATCAGCCTTAGCCGATGACCGATACGGGCTGCCGATTTTCTTGAGCCGATATTTGGAGCCGATACATTTTGCTCCCTCAATTTACATCTTAAAAATAACATGATGTTAACAAATGTTACAGGTCTCAATTTAATAAAAGTAACATTTAACTAACTTCAAAAATTAATATTTAACAAATAGTAAAAACATGTGAGGTAGAACAAGAACAAGTAGATAAACAATTTAAAAAATATTAAAAACATGAAGTAGAACAAAAAAAGTTCAGTGCTGAAAATGAATATTTAAGCATAAATTAAATAATTACACTATTGCACACAGTAGCAACCAGCATAATAAAGTGCACAGTGCACACTGTACTTCATTTTAAAAGAAACGAACTATGTACTGCATGGTTTCAATTTTCCTACATAAAATAAAATGAGCATGTCTAGTCTCTAATATTACTGCGATTGCGAGGGAGACAAACTCCACACGCCCCAAACCTCAGCCAGGTGAGCGCTGAATAAATCTCCCACAAAAAGCACAGAATAACGTTGGCATTCCTTAATCCTATGACCAGAGTTCGTTAAATTGCTCAAATGGCGTTTGCATATTCCCTCTAAAAAACATATTCGAACATCCCGTTGCGCGTTTTGTTGTTGACGCGCATTACATCAATAACAGGACACATTAATAAAAAGAGACATAACTACTAGTATTAGATGGTTTATTTGAGTTTAAACATATTTGACAACGTATTAAAAAGCAAGTAAATCAACTAATGGCCAAGACCGCAGAGCTCACTCTGTCTCGCCCTGGACTCGCTCAGGCACTCTCTCTCTCTCTCGCCCTCACGGTCTCTGCGCGTCGGTTAAATGAACAACAAACAAATGTTGAGTGCTAAACAAGAGTTTTGTGCAAGCAATTTAAGGTTGCGAGTCGCGACTCTTGTCCCAAATATAGCAGGCTTCAGTTCATTCAGTGATTGAAGTTTCACAGTATAGAACCGACAGTGAGCGCTCCGAGCGAGCTGTGCAGCTGTGGTAACGTTATTAGTCTGCAACCGCGGGCGTGTTTTTCCACATTCAAATATTAATTTTCACCTTCAAAATTAATAGATATTCGAATGTAGAATATTCATAGACAGTCCTAATGCATACTGAACGGATAACCTACACCTTAACTATTTGCAGCTTCTTAATACAATGGCAAGCAGTTAAGTTTTATAGACGAGGCATTCGCGTTTTTCATTTGGACCCAAAAACTTGCTTAGTTGCAAGCACATAACAGTTATAGGGCGACGTGTTTCCATTTTCAAAGTGTTTGACAATATTTCAGGAGTCAAACATTTAAAAGATCCTTTGAAAGTTTAAGTTACCATTCTCGTGAAGAGCAGGTTGCACTCTGCTAGTGGAGGAGGGGGGGGGGGGCACGTGAACTGCAGCATCTCCAGCAGCACGGAGCTGCCCGTGGCCGCCTGTCTATAAATAACGGCGGGAAAAAAAAAAACTATCGGCGAACGCGCAGCGGTGTATCGGCCGATTCCGATACACGTAAAAACCTCAAATATCGGCCCGATATATCGGCCGGCCGATATATCGGTCGATCACTAATAATTATATTTAGTAATTTTTTCCCAGCATCAGTTCCAGGCTGTCAGGTCCACAACATGCACATGTATTAAGTATGTTTTAATAAATAAATGGAGCCAGCCTCCAAAAGTAATTTAATCTCACTCTCACTCAACACCGTTGAGCCACTGTTATACACTAAAATATGTTGGTTGTCTTTATATTACAATGATGTTTCATATAATCTATATTTAGATATGGGATAAATGACATTCAATACAAAACTAATACATCTCGTAAATAAATAATCAAGTTATGTGATAAAAGATTTGCTTTGTTGTGCATAAAACCACACCAGGCATTTAGTCACCAGTCAAATAGCAAAATAATTTTATAAGGCCAATTATATAAAATCAATATGAACCGAAAAATAATGTGCAAACTATTACATAGAGACAGGAATAAAAAGGACCTCACTTGGAAGGTGGAACAACGACGCAGGTAACAACATGTAGGAGAAGAGGAAGGAGGGCATTCTGCGATATAACGCGATCTCATGAGCGTGTCAGTACATAAAGTGTCAGTGTGGCATACTTGCATTTGCATAAATACTAACATAAAAATGATTATTTGACTTTATTCTACTTTTCCATACTTCCATTTGCATAAATACTAACGTAAAAATGTTTATTTGACTTTATTCTACTTTTCCCCAGAATGAATTTTCATGTGGACTTTAAGGTTTCCATGTTGTTTAAAAGTACTTCCACACCGTTGGCATGTTAAAGGGTCCTTTCTTTTGTGAATGATCAGATGTTTAGAAAGATTTCGTTTATTAGTGAAACGTGTCCCACACTGTTGGCAGCTGAAAGGCTTCTCTCCAGTGTGAACCATCATGTGGCTTTTAAGGTTTCCTTTTTGCCTGAAACTCTTTCCACACTGAGAGCAGGTGAAAGGCTTCTCTCCAGTGTGAATTCTCATGTGGACTTTAAGGTTTCCATGTTGATTGAAAATTATTCCACACTCCTGGCATTGGAAAAGCTTCCTTCCAGTGTGAACTCTCATGTGGACTTCAAGACTTCCCTGCTTTCTGAAACTTAATCCACACAGATGGCAGGTGTAATCACCTATATTCCCTGTCTTTTGAGCTGTTTTTTGTGAGGAAGTTGTTTCAGTCTGTGAGCAATTCAAAGGCTTTTCTTCAGTTCTGAAATCATGATGTGTCTTGTCCTGATCTTTCTTTTCCCTTTCATTCAGATCTTGACTCTCCTCTTTCAACGGCATCAGGTCTGAGGCGAAAAAAGACAAAACAATTAATCCCAGTTTAATGCCACAATGGATAAACATTTAGACACACAAAAACATTAAAACTAATAACGTGTATGTTAGAACCTATACACCAGGGGTCTAGTTGTGCACATCTAGTGTGCAAACTAAATCTATTGACTGAAACAATCACCAACATGTTGGAACATCATCGTAGATGAAAAAGATTGGGTTTGTACAAACTGCAGCAGCAACAGGTGAGATGTTCATTAAGGCTATGTATATTGATGACTTTCTACTGGCTGGACGCAATGATAAACAGATGATAGAGGCGAAGAAAATGCTTGCAAAACACTTTGAGATAAAGGACATTGGTGAGCTAACTCATTTTCTTGGAGAGACACTGGAGAAATCTGGATCGGTCAAAACAAAATATGCCAAAAATGTGTTGGAGAAATTCGAAATGGAAAATTCAAAGCCAGTAAGCACACCAGTAGACTTGAACTCGGACTAATCATACTCTCTGATGACAAAGAAGGACTGGATCCAACACAATTTCAGTCTGCTGTTGGTAGTCTGCTTTATTTGTTAATAACAAGACCAGGGTCCTGTACCAAGGTGGCAGTTGAACAAACTCAGGGTTACAGGATTAGTTTCCATTCAACGGAACCAAACGAATCCAACCAGGCTTTGTTGCTACTGGTGTGTTCAAGTCCTCCTGGGGAAGTTCGTATGTACAAGTCGTGTTTACGACGGCAGTGCGTTCAATGTACAAAATGTTTAAATGATGCTTTGGAGAGATCGCTCGGTGTTTCTTCTTGGTGACTTTAATATCGGTGATGTACGTATTTGCAGCTTTTCAACAACATATCACATCCCCAACACGCTCAAAGCATATCTTAGGCATCCAAAATATTCCCAAAATATTTGTCCATGAAGCAGTGTATTGTAAACACCAAAAGAACTGAGGTCACGTTCGGCTGGTTCCAGTTCTGGTTCACTTTAAGTGAACTGAGTTTGGTTCTTTTCGAACAAACTATATGTGAAAACACTTGTGAAAGAACCCCGTTCCTTTTTTGGTCCTCTTTCACTCCTTGGGGTACAACCAGGGTAGAATGGTTTGAAGCTCCATATTGGACTTTCAATGCAGCTTCAAAGGCTCTAAACCAGGTGTGCCCAACCCTGCTCCTGCCGATCGACTGTCCTGCACAGTTCATGTTCAACCCTAAACAAACAAACCTGAAGCACCCAATTGAGGTCTTCTGGATGACTTGAAAATTAAAGTCAGGTGTGTTTGATTGGGATTGCAGATAAACTGTGAAGGACAGTCGATCGGCAGGAGCAGGATTGAGCACACCTGCTCTAAACAATCCCAGCTGAGGAATAAGGGCCTTATATGCAATACCGATGTGCCACGCATTGCGTAATCACCTGGGGCCTGTTTCAGAAAGGAGGTTAAGTGAAAACTCTGAGTAGGTTAACCCTGAAATGAAGAAAACTCTGGGTTTTCCGTTTCAGAAAGGGGTGTATATCAAACCCGAGAAAGCAGAGTAAGTCAAGCCCATTTCTAAAAGAGAGGTAACTTATACTCAGAGTCAGTTACCATGGTAACTTACTCTGTGAACCTAACCTGGTCGTGAGCAGGTTTTCTTCAGTAAACCCAGAGTTTCTTGCGGTCTCCTCCCCTTTTTTAAAGCGGAAGCGCTGTTTAAACACCAATAATAATACTAAAATGTATTTACACATTCTTTAAGGAATATATATTGTTTGTTCATGGTTTAATTGACTAAATCTGTTTTGCAGCACTTTGCCAAAAAATAAAAGGATTAAAACATTTGCTAAACTTTTATTTGATTACCACCGTTTTTGATAATATATTTCTATTAAATCATTAAAAAATTGGAATAAAAAACATTTAATAGAACTCAATTATTTTTCAAACATAATTTAATAAGTTATTAATGATAAAAATAAGATGTTTATCTTATTCCCAATCAATTATTGAAGTTAGTTGATTACATATGTTTTATTGAACAAATGTTTAATTAATTTAACTGTCATTTTTAACTGTTGATAATAATAATCGTAATTCAATAATGCAGTTTATATATTTAATAATTGTTTAATACCATAAACCGTGATATTTTCTGAGACGGTTCTCATACTGTGAAACTCTCCCCACATGGGGGAGTCCCCCATCCCACCCCCACTGTTAAACAAGTTTTAAATTACAAACATGTTTTAAATTAACTACTTTTTACTTGACTTTTTACCTTTTCTTCCTTGTTGGCCTGAAATGAGACTTCAATAGATTTCCACGACGCATGCGCGAGAATTGCGATCTCCTTCAACTACTTCAGTTCAGTTCTCGCGCATGCGTCGTGGAAATCTCTTGAAGTCTCGTTTCAGGCCAACAAGGAAGAAAAGGAATAGTCGAATAAAGTCGTTATTTTTGTTTGTTTTTTCACACAAAAAGTATTCTCGTTGCTTAATAAATTTATAGTTGAGCCACTGTAGTCACACCGAATATTTAAACATTTTCTTCATTGAATTTCTGGGCCGTCAAGTGTCATTCCCTTAGGAGCCTATGTGGTAGTTTTACAGCTCGCAAATTTAATCAAAAATATCTTCATTTGCGTTCCGAAGACGAACGAAGGTCTTACGGGGTTGGTACAGCATGGGGGTGAGTAATTAATGACTTAATTTTCATTTTTGGGTGAACTAACCCTTTAACAGAAACTGACATTCACAGCCATTATAAAGCTTGGAAGATCCAGGCCATTAGAGCTTAGATCGGGCCCAAAAAAAAACCCCCGGCCCGGCACAACTAACAGCCGTATCGGAGAGAAGCGTTTTTAGGTGAACTTGAATTTAATAACTGAAATATTAATCTGTACCTCACATTAAACTATGGAATATCGTTTATGAAAACATTATGGTGCTTTATTATGTTTTTGTGCTTTTTGTCTGGTATAACAACAACACGGAATAGTAGAAGCAGTATTGGAACAACACCGATACGGTATCGGAAAATAACAGCATCGGATCTAGCCTGGATGCCAGCCCAAATTCCGCCCACAACATTTTTTGGACGGGAAGTTCGGTCTGGACTCGAGCCATTGAGGAGTAATTATGATCGGTTCAGAAATCATCGGGCCAATCAAATTGCCAGGGCGGGCTTTATACGATGATTGACAGGTGGTCTTCAGTAACGTAATCCCACGTCATCAACGAGTGCTTGTCAAAGATGACTGCAGCTGGAGAATTGAGATGTATAGATTCCGCTGTCGCGTCTGTTGTAAAAAAAAAAAAAAAATCGACAGTGCATTCATTTTAATAGACAAACAGAGAACTGCAATCAAGGCATTTGTCGATCGGAAAGATATTTTTGGCGTCCTTCCTACATGATTCGGGAAAAGTGTAACTTATCAGCTGGCTCTGACGGTCGTTAAGAAGATGGGACGTAATGAAAAGCCTGTGGTCGTTGTGGTTTCTCCTTTGGTGGCACTCATGGAGAAGTAAGTAAAAGAAGTAACACTCGTTATTTAACTTCTAAAATAAGTAAGTTCTGTATTTGAAAACTGCGCTATGCAAAGGAGTTGACTTATGCGTTGCTCTGATTGGTTGGTAGGTCTACAGACTATCCAATTGAGTGCAGAGGGGTTTTTTTTTTTTGTCCTTGTTCGGTTATGACACGCCTCATGATCAAAGCCCACTCGAGGAGTTTCAGACTCATATTCTTTCTTGAATATGAGTATGACGAAGTCAGGCTACATCAGATCGGCACACCCCTAAACAATATCACTTATTTCTGTAGAGCTGGACATTTTAATAGGGATCAAATGACTGAGTTCAGCTGTGAGAATGAAACTAACCTGTTTGTTCCTCAGTTTCTTCTTGTTTCACACTAAATGTTTCTTCAATCTTCATGTCTTCGGTCTCCTCTTTAATAAACGCCATCTGTGTTTGTTCCTCAGTTTCTTCTTGTTTCACACTAAATGTTTCTTCAATCTTCATGTCTTCGGTCTCCTCTTTAATAAACACCACCATCTTTATTTGTTCCTCAGTTTCTTCTTGTTTCACACTGAATGTTTCTTCAATCTTCATGTCTTCACTCTCCTCTTTAATAAACACCATCTTTATAATAGTGTCATGTGGACCTCAGTCACTTTAACAGTTTTTCTGTTTAAAATGAGAACAATTAACAGAAAGAAAAATAAATCCAAACTAAGTCTGTGTGTGCATCTCAATCAGCTCTAGTTCAGTCTGAGTTAATGTACTTAAATCACCAGATCAGACAGAAAAATTCACTCCAAATTAGCACTACAAATGAATAAAAGATTGCACATTATAAAGACACTTAATATATTAAGCAGTTTAAGTATTTAAATGTGTGTACTAATAGATATAGATGTATAGAAATAGGGATATATAGAAATAGAGATATACATAGAAATAACACTAACTGTTATAATTTTATTTTTAAGTATTTGATTCACTGCTGCCAGTCACCGAACTGAAACGCACCTTTTGTTTTCATTACTTTGATCACACGACGTTAATAAATGTTAGATAATGCAACGTTACACTTAATAATGCCTGGATAATTATGCGTCGCTTTTAAAACTTTGAAGTCGATTAAACAGTTTCTAATGCGTTAAACAACTTTAAACACAAACCTTTCTTTAGCCGAATCACAACAGATGAGGGAGCGTGGCGCCGCCTTATGACGTCACAATTTGAGAGCAAATTAAAAGTCCTGTTCACACGCTGCTGGTTAAAATCACAAACGTATATTGAAATGTAGAATATATATATATATATATCTACATTTATCATTTATCAATATGTTTTATTTTATTTATATATATGATAAAATTCAGAGCTGAATGTATTGCTGAAATACATTTAATAACACAATAATAAGTTAATAATACAGTTCACATTGACAATTAAAAAAAATAAGATTACCCAATAACACAATTAGTTTGGTGGAGAAATCATTAACAAACCTTACCATTTCAAAGCAAACTAGCAAAAAAATAAATAAAATAAAAAATTAGTAGGATCATCACTGCATCATCTGTGCCTTCTGAGATATTTTTTCTAAAGCAGGAGAGTTCCTCAGGTAAAGAAAAAATTATCTAAAGGGACATTCTCTTCATCATTCCCTTATTCCTATTCACTGAAGTATTGGTATCGAAATCAACGATACATTGATCGAAATGAATAATAGATTATTGATCGTATAATAAATCAACGATCCCTACAGCGTGCCTTTGTGCTTGCTCATGTTATCCAACATTAATTTAACACTTGAAGAAGAAAAAAAAAACTTATTTTAAAAGCTGATGTACTTTTATGAATTTGATTAAACTGTGCATTTGATACTTTTTTAACGAAATATGTGTATGTTATGTATTTTGTTAATTTGTGTACTTACAAATGTTATTATAGTTTTGCATTTTAACTAGTTTTTATTTTAATATCAGTTTCAATGTTGCTTTAAATTTTAGTTTTAGTTAGTTTCATTAATGGTTTTGTTAGTTTTAGTTTACTTTTTATTTTGCAAACACATTTCTATTTAGTTTTTATTTTATTTTATTTAGTTTATTTATTTAGTTGTTAAGCAGAGCAAACAGAACACTTCCGGGTAGACTGAAGCGAGACACATTACATTTCAATAAAGTTTAATGTTTGCACAGGTTAACTCTTGTGCAGACATCTTAATAATACAAAAAAAAAATAATGATATGAGATTGAACAAAGCACCAAATAAATGGAACTTAAAGAGTACAAGTAAAAACTATGAAAATATAAGACAAACTAATTAATTTAAAGATTAAATCTGGTTAAACATTGGTGGTTTACTTTTTTTCATCTGAACAATATAGCATAGTGAGTGACCACTGGTACAAAAAAAAAAAAAAAAAACGGCTCAATACATCTGATTACAGCCAACACAACCTCCTCTGAAGCCAGTGTGATTAATGCAGTGGTTGATTATGATTTCACTTTTCTATTTCACTATATGATTTCATATCATATAGCTCTATAATATCATGAAGTAACATTAACAAAATAACATTATGAAAAGCTATGAAAACATTTATAAAACTCACTTATTCAAAACAAGAACTATCGGTACACTAATAACTACATATACTAATTATAGTTAGACCAAACTAATTGTGTTATTGCGTAATCTTAATTTTTTTGATGGTCAATGTGAACTGTATTATTAACTTATCATTGTGTTAGTAAATGTATTTCACCAATACATTCAGCTTTGATTTTTTTCATCTTTAATATATATCTTTTTCTACTTAAATTTCAATGCACTTTTGTGATTTTAGCAGCGTGTGAACGGGACTTTTAAGTTGCTCTCCAGGGTATGACGTCATATAGCGACGACGCACTCCTGCATCTGTTGTGATTCGGCTTAAGAAAGGTTTGTGTTTTAAGGTGTTAAAAGCATTCAGAGTTTTAAAAGTGACGCATAATGAATTAGGTATTATTAAGAGTAACATTGGATTGCTTTATCTAACATTAATGAGCAAAGTAATGGAAAACAAAAGGCAAGTTTCAGTTCGGTCACTGACGAGCAGTGAATCAAATACTTTTTTTTAAATTATAGTGTTATTTCTATTTTTATATATCCCTATTTCTATATCTCTATATCTATTTCTTGTACATTCTTTTGTTAATTTGTAGTGGTAATTTTTCTTTATTTATTATTATTAACTCGGACCGACTCCCTACTAGTTTGCTGAACTACTGAACTAGAGCTGATTGAGATGCACAGCATTATACGCTAAACAGTTTTTAGAGATAAAACCCTTTACATTCGATTATCATGAAAACAAATCTCAGAGAACGGTTGACTGTGTACCGATGTTTTATTAGACCAAGGTTCATTGTTCGCCGGAGTTCTCCTTTAATGAAGATGCTGAAGACAAAACGCCAAGGTTTGGCTGCATTTCACATGTAACATTACTAAGGGTGTCACGATTTCGCTTTTAAATCGAAATCGATCAAAATTAATTCAGAATATTCGATACTGCCATAACCCATATCACGTCCGTTCGGCTTGCCAAGCGGAAAAAACATGCGTGTTGAAGTGCTGCGAGTCTATAGTCAACCTCCTCTAACATGATCAACTCTTACTATTGTAAGTAAAATGTACTTGATACACACCCAGCCTGTGTAGACCATAAAATCAATACAGATTTATGATAGGTGTATGTTTTTGTGTAGAAAGATGAAGAGAATGTCCCTTTAGATAGTTTCTTCTTTGACTGAGGAACTCCTGCTTTAGAAAAAAAAATATATATCAAAAGGCACAGATGATGCAGTGATCCTACTAATTTCTTATTTTCTTTCTTTCTTTTTTTTTTTTTTTGATAGTTTGCTTTGAACTGCTAGGGTTTGTTCATGATTTCTCCACCTAATTTTGTTATTGCTTAAAATTAATATTTTTAATTGTGAATTGAAATAACTGTATTGTGTTATTAAATGTATTTCACTAATGCATTCAGATCTGATTTTTTTTCATCTTTTATATATATATATATATATATTCTTTAGACGTAAATTTCAATGCTCTTTTGTGATTTTAACCAGCAGCGTGTAAACAGGACTTTTAATTTGCTCTCTGAGTGTGACGTCATAAGGCGGCGACGCGCTCCCGCATCTGTTTTGATTCGGCTGAAGAAAGGTTTGTATTTAAAGGTGTATTTAAACAGTTTGAACGGCTTCAAAGTTTTAAAAGCGACGCATAATGAATTATGCATTATTAAGTGTAATATTGCATTATCTAACATTTATTAACGTCGTTTGAGGAAAGTAACAGTGAAAACTCGTGTGTAATGAAAGGTGCGTTTCATTTCAGTCACTGGCAGCAGTGAATCGAATACTTAAAAATAAAATTGTAGTGTTAAATTTCTATATATCCCGATTTTTATATCTATTTCTACAAACCATTAAATACTTAAACTATTTAATATATTAAGTGTCCTTATAATGTGTAATCTTTTATTCATTTGTAGTGCTAATTTGGAGTGAATTTTTTTGTCTGATCTGGTGATTTAAGTACATTAACTCAGACTGAACTAGAGCTGATTGAGATACACACACAGATTTAGTTTGGATTTATTTTTCTTTCTGTTAATTTTTCTTATTTTAAACAGAACAAACAGGAAAAACTGTTAAAGCGACTGAGGTGATAAAGATGGCGTTTATTAAAGAGGAGACTGAAGACATGAAGATTGAAGAAACATTTAGTGTGAAACAATTAGACACTGAGGAACAAACAAAGATGGCTTTTACTAAAGAGGAGAGTGAAGACATGAAGATTGAAGAAACATTTAGTGTGAAACAATTAGACACTGAGGAACAAACAAAGATGGCTTTTACTAAAGAGGAGAGTGAAGACATGAAGATTGAAGAAACATTTAGTGTGAAACAAGAAGAAACTGAGGAACAAACAGGTTAGTTTTATTCTCAAAGCTGAACTCAGTCATTTGATCCCTATTAAAATGTTCAGCTCTTCAAAAAAAGTGATATTGTTTAGGGGTGTGCCATACTGCTTTTACTATTCTGTGTTGTTATTATACCAGACAAAAGGCTAAGGTTGGATACCGAAACGCCGTGCCGATTTTTTTACCCCCATCAGTCTTAGCCGATGACCGATAAGGGCTGCTGATTTTTCTTGAACCAATATTTTGCTCCCTCAATTTACATCATAAAAATGACATGTTAACAAATGTTACAGGTCTCAATTTAATAAAAGTAACATTTAACTTAAAAATATATATATATTTAACAAATAGTAAAAACATGTGAGGTAGAACAAGAACAAGTAGGTAAACAATTTTTAGCAAATATTAAAAACATGAGGTAGAACAAATAAAAAGTTAAGTGCTGAAAATAAATATTTAAGCATAAATGAAATAATTACACTATTGCACACAGTAGCAACCAGCATAATAAAGTGCACAGTGAACACTGTAATTCATTTTAAAAGAAACAAGCTATGTACTGCCATGATTTAAATTTTTCTACATAAAATAAAATAAGCCAACATGACATCATGACTTTTGCGTTAAAATACAATGACTTTCAAGTCAAGTGCCGTTATCTATACGCATTTTCAGCTATCCGTGTGTATGCGTGTATGTCCACCCCGTTAAACGTCCGAGTGATTCCGTGTGTATGTACACCCTGTTAAATGTCCGAGCGAAACGAAGCAAAATGCAGATCTACATCTGGGGAGCGATATTTTTTTTTTCCTAGGATGGTAGGGGAAGACTCATAAATGCTATTAACCCTACTGACGGGTAGGCTGAAAAGCAATTATGCTTGTTGATAGCAGGCCAAAAATGGAAATACGAATTGGCGTGTCATACATATTCAATTTCATGAGATGAGCATGTCTAGTCTGTAATAATATCACTGCGATGGCGAGGGAGACACACCACACGCGTCCAAACCTCAGCCAGGTGTGGGTGCTGAATAAATCTCCTGGTATTAAAGTTAATGAGCTAATTAAGTGATTCATTGAGTGATGATTGACCATTATTAAAGACACCTGATATTAACAAGCAGAATCACCAAACGAGAAATTCTAATGTTAAAGTCACCATTATCATGATCTGTGTTTGCATTAGTTGGGCTATTGACTCTTCGTTTTCTCACACAAACCGCTCATTTCATGTCTTATGCCATCAATGTGTACTTACATTTACGAGTCATTAAATCATGTTTAATTTTTATGAACATGTCTAAACATGTTTACTATTGCGCTGATTTAAAAAATAATACTTTTTCTTTAGTTGTCCTCTTTCATAGACAGCTATCTTCTTCTTGCTGTGTGAATTTGTTTAAGTTCTTAATGTTTTTCAATCGCGTAATATATTCTGTTGGAGAGAAGTGGTTTTCTCGCAAGAAGTGAATCACAGTTTCGCACTTTCTCAGCATGTGATTGGCTGTTCGCTATTGAATATCACAGCCAAACACCTAAACTCAGGATTAAACCTGGGTTGACAGAGAAAGTTGATGATCAGTATCATGGTAACAACAAAGCCTGGTTGGATTATTTATTTGTTTCAAGGATAGCCCCTTGAGATGAACCATCTCATTTTCGAGGGGGTCCCTTCTTTACAACAAACAAGATCTTAATAGAAGTTCATAATTAAAGTAAATACAACACAAAACTATTACAAACATTTAAATACATTGACATTCTCATACATACACAGACACTTTCAAACAATGCTCCCATAATACTCCCTTTCCCTTTTGTCCCATCATCAAAAACAAGTCAAAAAACCATCCGTGAAAAATAAAAAATACACAATCAAAATAAGGATATGCTTACAAACATCCATAAACCCATACAGGTTTCATTTCGTTTTGTTGACTCAAAACTAATCCTGTAACCCTGAGTTAGTTTGTTCAACTTCCACCATGGTAAAGGCCCCTAGCCTTGTTATTGTCAACAAATAAAGTAGACTACCAACAGCAGACTGAAATTGTCTTGGATCCAGTCCTCCTTCGTCATCAGAGAGTTTGAGTTCAAGTCTACTGGTGTGCTTACTGGCTTTGAATTTTCCATTTCTAATTTCTCCAACACATTTTTTGGCACATTTTGACCTATCCAGATTTCTCCAGTGTCTGATTTTTGGACAATTTTCACTCCCAAGAAAATGAGTTAGCTCACACATGTCCTTTATCTCAAAGTGTTTTTCAAGCATTTTCTTCACCTCTATAATCTGTTTATTATTGCGTCCAGCCAGTAGAAAGTCAACAACATACACAGCCTTAAAGGGGTGGTTCGGGATTTTAGACATCGGGACTCATTTCCAAGTGAGCCTTAGTGTTATTTATTCAGTAAAGACATTTTTTTTTTAAAAATCATCCAGTCGTCCCAGTTGCTTAGTTGGCCGGTGCTAGGCTAGCGCGAATCATTGGTATCTGTATTAGCATGCCATTAAAACAGTTTTAACCACTCCACAGTTCACCAAAAGCACATCAATTATAACACCAGACTATCGATGTAAATGTCTGTTGATAGAATAATGTTAGAAATCAAACTACTCAATGCAGTTTGACATATCAAAATATATTTCAATGATCGCATTACATCTACAGGAACTAGTTTCTCAGCAGTGGCGGAATTTTACTTTGCTCCGGGAGTAGAGCTGCGCCGTAAAGTAAACACAACAGAATCGCACTACGTTACAGTCAGAACGTCAAGTATGGATACACCGACAGAGACTACTAAAGGCCCGAATTTGTAGCGATCATTTTAGATCGGATAACTTTGTACAAAGTGATAGAAACGACAACAAGTCACTGAGTTTGAATGCAGTTCCAGCCGTCTTTCCCGATGCACCAACAGCTACAGATGAACAGGTAATAACTTTTGTTAGTCTACTCTAACCTCCAGCTAATGAAGCTACTCTTTCATAACTGATAGATCGACACTGACAACGTTAGTGGAGATAACGTTACAGTTCAATGCATTGTGGAGAGTGACACTATAGTGTAACTAGTCCCACTCCCTGCAGCAAAAACACTCGCCTTCCGTCGACATTTTACATTTTCTGCATTGACACCACCAGTCTCCCGATGTTCTGTCCCGGTTCTCTATGGCATCTCCAGGGGCTGCTGTCTCTACAGATTTTTTTTCTCTTTCTGACCTTTTAGCATCCATCTCGATTAGTTCTTCATCTGTGTATTCCGGCTCATACATGTATGGTTCGTTGAATAACACACATTCCTCATCTTCATCGTCTTCAAAGTCCGAAACATTGTCATTGCTTTCAAACGTGGCCATAATTATATGTCTTGTTGTTTTATTATGGAAATAAACTCTGTTTCTGTAGTGATGACGAGTATCAGCGGCAGGTAAATACACTTGCGTGATTGATTGTCATGTGGACCGGCTCTCTCGGTTGCCTAGGTAACATATCACTCCGCTCCTGCTGTAGACTATGCTGATAGATAGAGGGAACAAAGTATAACTATTGCAATGCGATGAAAGGGTAGTTTGATTTCTAACATTATTCCCTCAACCGACATTTACATCGATAGTCTGGCGTTATAATTGATGTGCTTTTGGTGAACTGTGGAGTGGTTAAAACTGTTTTAATGGCATGCTAATACAGATACCAATGATTCGCGGTAGCCTAGCACCGGCCAACTAAGCAACTGGGACGACTGGATTATTTTTTTTAAAAAATGTCTTTACTGATAAATAACACTAAGGCTCACTTGGAAATGAGGCCCGATGTCCAAAATCCCGAACCACCCCTTTAATGAACATCTCACCAGTTGCTGCAGTGTAAATGCAGGGATCAGCTTTAATTTGTACAAACCCCATCTTTTTCATCTTGGATGATGTTCCAACATCTTGGTGATTGTTTCAGTCCATAGATGCTGTGATTTAGTTTGCACTCTAGATGTGCACACCTAGACCCCTGGTGTATAGGTTCTAACATACATGTTATTAGTTTTAATGTTTTTGTGTGTCTAAATGTTTATGCATTGTGGCATTAAACTGGGATTAATTGTTTTGTCTTTTTTCGCCTCAGACCCGATGCCGTTGAAAGAGGAGAGTCAAGATTTGAATGAAATGGTAAAGAAAGATCAGGACAAGAAGACACATCATGATTTCAGAACTGACGAAAAGCCTTTGAATTGCTCACAGACTCAAACAACTTCCTCACAAAAAATGGCTCAAAAGACAGGAAATATAGGTGATTACACCTGCCATCTGTGTGGACTAAGTTTCAGAAAGCAGGGAAGTCTTGAAGTCCACATGAGAGTTCACACTGGAAGGAAGCTTTACCCCTGCGAACAGTGCGGAGTAATTTTCAATCAACAAGGAAACCTTAAAGTCCACATGAGAATTCACACTGGAGAGAAGCCTTTCACCTGCTCTCAGTGTGGAAAGAGTTTCAGGCAAAAAGGAAACCTTAAAAGTCACATGAGAGTTCACACTGGAGAGACCCCTTACACCTGCAAACAGTGTGGAATGAGCTTCAGTCAAAAAGGAAACCTTAAAAGTCACATGAGAGTTCACACTGGAGAGAACCCTTACACCTGCAAACAGTGTGGAATGAATTTCACTAGGAAAGGAAGTCTTTCAAAACACATGATTGTTCACAAAACAAAGGACTCTTTAACATGCCAATGTTGTGGAAATACTTTTAAACAACATGGAAACCTTAAAGTTCACATGAAAATTCATTCTGGGGAAAAGTTGAATAAAGTTAAATAAACATTTTTTACGTTAGTGTTTATGCAAATGAAAGTATGCCGACACGACACTTTACGTACTGATACGCTCATGAGATCATGATATACACATTTTTGTAACAGCAAGACCTAAAAATGAAAAATTAAAAAAAATTAAATTAAAATTGAAACATGTTTATGTGTGATGAATAGTTAAGACTTGAGATTAGGGGATGCAAAAAAACTTTGTGTGATGATTTATTCATGTGTTTACTGCAGTGCTGACTGGTAAAGGTCCAGAGAGTTGTCTTCTCTAACAGACATGGAAGGGATACTCCACTTTTTTTGGAAATAGGCTAATTTTACCACTCCCCCAGAGTTAAACAGTTGAGTTTTACCGTTTTCGAATGCATTCAGCCACATTTGCATTTTCTGATATTTAGAAGAATATCAGTACCCAGACAGTTTCTGGTCTCATTGACGTCCATAGTAGGAAAAAAATATACTATGGAAGTCAATGAGACCAGAAATTGCCTGGTTATTGATATTATTCTAAATATAAAAAAATCTGCTGAATGGATTTGAAAACGGTAAAACCCAACTGTTTAACTCGGGGGGAGTGGTAAAATTAGCCTATTTCAAAAAAAAAGTGGAGTATCCCTTTAACTGCTGTGCATCTGATGTGAGCTTCAGTGGAAGGTATACTAGAAAATATTGGCATCAAGGCATCTTATCAATCAGCAGTGGCTTGGAGCACCTCAAACAGTCAGAAATCATAAATATAGCTTTTTTTGAACCTGGCTTCTCCCACAGCTATAGTAATAACATCATAACTAAACATGGTAAGTTTATATACCTCTCAAATGATTTGGTTGAATAGTTGTGTTAAAGATTAAGATGTTATTTGCATAGCATTTGTAAAAATTTGCTTAATGTTTGGCTGAAAACTAAATGCACCACATTTGACCTAAGACTAGCATGAGTGGCACAAGTGTCCATTTTTAGACATATGCCTTATGAATGTATGTTTTTTTAATTATAGTTAAATAATTAAATAATATAGTTAAATAATTTTTTGTTTATACTCGACGCGTCCGCAAGAGCGCGAGTCTCCGCTGCCTGTGCGCGCACCTCTCCAAACGGACGAGGCATTTATACTTGACGCACTCGCCGTTGTGCTATTCTGTGAAACGACAGGGGGCGAACTCTCGAGTAATTCACCTCTAAACCACCAGGAATCAGCAGTGAAGAAGTAGTTTGCTGTTTATTAGTAGTTTATTAATTGCTAATTCATAAAAGAGTAAGTGCAGTAGGTTTATTGTAGCCTACTTTCACTGCATGTAAACTAGTTAAACAACTGAAGCCTTATTGGAGAGTGTTTAAACCTTAATTTTACCAGGGCTTAATTCTGCTATTGTAGGCTTATTTTGTAGATGTAACCAAATACTTTGGACAAGTGTAAACTAGGTGCTTAATGCAAATGTGTTCCTGTTCACAAAATGAGATGTTAGTCGCCCATCAATGCAAATGTCTCCGTGTATAGAAGGATCATAAACATGCTGGTACAGATCGTACCAGTTCGGCCAGATTCGGCTCGTAGTCGTCTATCTTCGGATGCGGCGCCGCGCGCAAAGTTACAAAAAGTACCGTGCACACCGCCAGGCGCAATGGGGTCTTGCGGACCCTACGCGCACGACCGCCCACACCGCAATGACGTCAATTTTGCCGCGTGCTCTTGCGGACGCGTCGAGTATAAACAAGGCTTAAGCGTTCTCAGTGAGCGCAGCGAGCATGGAGTTTGGGGCAAATGACTCTCAGGTCATACTCAAACCAAGACATAAATACATACCTAAATCCCTCAACACACCGTTCAAAGCCCAGGTTATTTCCCTGTGCGCCCTGCAGGATAACAGAGAGGAGGAGGGCGTTAAGGCCAATTTATACTTCTGCGTAGGGTGCGCGCAGTAGGGACGGCGTAGCATACCGTGTACCCTTCGCCATCGCCTGACGCGCACCTCTTCAAAAATGTAACTACACGTCGCGACGACGCGGAACGCAAGATTGGTGATTGGTCGGCTTGGTAGGATCGCATTTCCTCCTACGCATTTCCGCACGTACCTTCTCACGCATTTCCACCACTGTCTGTGATTTCCACACGTACCATCTCCTCCGACGTCTTCTGTCATTTCTGCCTTTCAGTTTTAGTAATTTCACTAAAGTGAACTGTTTTTCCACCTCAATAAGCTCCAACTCCAACATGATCAGCTCTCTTTCAGTCGATATTGCTTGTAGTAACCTAGCCGCGAGGAATCTAAACACAGTGGAACATTAAAACCCTCCGCCGCCAACTAGCGTTTCGGAGCAGTACTGCAGAGCAACAAGACCTGAACGCAGAAGTATAAATGCTCATAACTGCGTCGCCTACGTGCGTAGCCAACGCCGTGCACTACGGCGTACCCTCGACGCAGAAGTATAAATTGGCCTTTAGCTTCCTTTGCCCAGTCAGGGCATTAAGGACCTATGTGTTGCGCACCTCTGCTTTCAGGCAGACTGAGCAGCTCTTCATTTCGAACTTGTATGGCGACAGGCTGGGCCTCCCTGTCTACATTAATCAGGTTTTACAACCTGGAAGTTCCCGCCTTACAGGCAAAGCTATTTTAGGTCTAAAACAGTATTGTTTGCCCTGAAGCTTTGGCTCAGAATACTGACACTGCTTGAGCACTGCTCACTGACCGATAATATAACATCTTGGGCTGTTGTAAGACTCATATGATTGCTCAGTTCAGGCTGAGAATGTTTCTCCCCCTGACTGTCTGGAACACTGTTATGTGTTTGGCCTCCTTTGGATGCCACTTATGATTGGAATGATCCTTCTAGCCTCTCTTCCTTGACTCTCTGTGAGTCTATGGTGATTGTGCACTATAAGAACCCTGGGCACCTGCCCTCGGGTCTTTGATGTTCGATCCCTGCACACAAGATCCGCACGTTACCTTTTAATAGGTCGCCCTCTATGTTAGTGCATGTGGCACGTAACAATAGATAATGTAACAAAAATATAACGCATCGCACGACCCATTTTCGATAAAGGTCACATAATGTTTCAAATTCTTTCCTCATAAAGGCTTTTGTAAAGGAACAAGAGAATGATGACATTTTCCCCCTTATTTCTTCTGTAACTGATCAACTCTTTTACTGTTGAAAGTAAAATGTACTATACACACCCAGCCTGTGTATACCATAAAATCAATACAGATTTATAATAGATTTATATGTTTTTGTGAAGGAATAAGAGAATGATGAAGAGAATGTCCCTTTAGAAAGTTTTGACTGAGCAACTCCCCTGCTTTAGAAAAAAAATATTTCAGAAGGCACAGTTAATGTAGTGATCCTAAGAAATTGTTTTCTTTTTTTGTTTTTTTTTATGCTAGTTTGCTTTGAAAAGGTAAGGTTTTTTCATGATTTCTTCACCTAATTGTGTTATTGCTTAAACTTAAAATGTTTAATTGTGAATGTGAACTGTATTATTAACTAACCATTGTGTTATTAAATGTATTTCACCAATACTTTTAACTCTTATTTTTTTAATATATATATATATATATATATATATATATATATATATATATATATATATATATATATTATTTTTTTTTTTTCTACGTAAATTGCACTTTTGTGATTTTAACCAGCAGCGTGTGAACAGGACTTTTAATGTGCTCTCCAAGTGTGACGTCATTAGGCGGCGCCGCGCTCCCGCATTTGTTGTGATTCGGCTGAAGAAAGGTTTGTGTTTAAAGTTGTTTAACACATTAGAAACTGTTTAATCGGCTGCAAAGTTTTAAAAGCGACATATAATGAATTAGGCATTATTAAGTGTAACATTGCATTATCTAACATTTATCAATGTCCTGTGAGCAAAGTATTCATGAGTAGTGAAAGGTGCGTTTCAGTTCGGTCACTGGCAGGAGTGAATCAAATATTTAAAAACAAAATTATAGTGTTAAATTTCTATTTATATCTCTATTTATATGAACCTTTAAATACTTAAACTGCTTACAGTTTTTTTTATTTGGTACTATTTTCACAAGTAAGGTGTACATTTTCAAAACCCTTAGTGCTAATATCACAGCAGATCATCAAAAGTGCACTTTTTTCAAACATTTCATCATGTTTTCAACTGTGTTGGTACAATTCACACAATCACAAAGTATCCTTTTCACAACACAAAGTAAGTGTTTCATCTACATTATTGTTTCATTCACAGTAACTGCCTTTCATAAAGCTCTTACTATCAAAATTTTGATTGGCATCTCTTTTTGTTCAGTTTAATACTTTTGTCTATTATTTAATCCAACAGATCTTAATGGTTAATCGATTAATCATTTGGTAAACCTATAGATTTTCATTTCAGCAATATACAGTATATGGATTTTGAGAACTACAGAAATAAAATGTGTGTTTGTATGAATATTTAAATTACATGTAACCACACATGATGAATACTCGTTATAGCTAATTGATTTCACATAGTGGTAACCACAATTGGCCACTAAATACTGTAAATGATTGTAGAGGATGTCTTGATTGATCCTTCACTTGATTACATATATGATGGATATTTGGAAATTATAGATTATGTAAATGTTGGGTACTGTAATTGTATTGCCTAATGCTACCGTAAAACTGTGTAATCTGTCTTTTATAGTACTGTAGCATATTCATTTCAGCACTTCTAAGGCCGATTTGAAACATGTATCTTGCATTGTTTGCTGTTGGATGAACTGATTGTTAAAAGTACTAAACTGAAAGAAGATCATATTGTTGTGTTTCAGTGATTAAACCAAATTTTCTCATTACATATTACAATAATCTTGTGTTTGAAATAATGATTATGTGGACTGAAAACATGTGCAACTGACTGAAAGCGTTACATCAGGTTTTGAAAGAATGACTAGCTGCGTTACAAGTGTGATCAATTTGGATTTTTGTACTAAGAGTTTTGAAAATGTACACCTTACTTGTGAAAATGGTACCAAAGCGAATAAAAAAACTGTAATATATTAAGTGTCTTTATAATGTGCATTCTTTTATTAATTTGTAGTGCTAATTTCGAATGAAATTTCTTTTGTCTGATCAGGTGATTTAAGTACATTAACTCAGACTGACTCCCTACTAGTTCGTTGAACTACTGAACTAGAGTTGTTTGAGATGCACACACAGATTTAGTTTGGATTTATTTTTCTTTCTGTTAATTATTCTCATTTTAAACAGGACAAACACAGAAAAACTGTTGAACCGACTGAGATCCACATGACACTATTACAAAGATGGCATTTATTAAAGAAGAGAGTGAAGACATGAAGATTGAAGAAACATTCAGTGTGAAACAAGAAGAAACTGAGACACAAACACAGATGGCGTTTATTAAAGAGGAGACCGAAGACATGAAGATTGAAGAAACATTCAGTGTGAAACAAGAAGAAACTGAGGAACAAACCAAGATGGCATTTGTTAAAGAGGACAGTGAAGACATGAGAATTGAAGAAACATTTAGTGTGAAACAAGAAGAAACTGAGGAACAAACAAAGATGGCTTTTACTAAAGAGGAGACCAAAGACATGAGGATTGAAGAAACATTCAGTGTGAAACAAGAAGAAACTGAGGAACAAACAGGTTAGTTTCATTCTCACAGCTGAACTCAGGCATTTGATCTCAATGTAAATGTTCAGCTCTTCAGAAATAAGTGATATTGTTTAGGGGTGTGCCGATCCGATACTGTTTTTTTTCCGATACAGTATCGGTGTTGTTCCAATACTGCTTTTACTATTGTGTTGTTGTTATACCAGACAAAAGGCACAAAAATATAATAAAGCACCATAATGTTTTCATAAACGATATTCCATAGTTGGATGTGAGGTACAGTTTAACGTGAGGTACAGATGAATATTTACGTCATTAAATTCAAGTTGACCTTCACGCTTCTCTCTGATACGGCTGTTAGTTAATGTGCAGGGCCGGGTCAGGCTCGGACACAACGTGCACGGACTCGGGTATGGTCGGGCTTGATTTTTTTTTTTTTTAAGCACTAATGGCCTGGCTCTTCCAAGCTTTATAATGGTTGTGAATGTCATTTTGTGTTAAGACCATAAAAGTGGATCTATCCATGAGAAGAAGGGCTTCAGACATACCTCTTTTCCACCAACAAGAACCAGGTGCTGGTTCAGTGCTAGAGCAAGTGCTGGTTTGGAGTTGGTGACGAGCTTTCAAAGAACTGGTTTGCCTTTCCACATGCTAGAGAGCCGTCACAGAGCCAAATCTTACGTCACTGTATACATTTCATGTTTGCCCAGCAACGCTAGCGTGGCACACACAAACACACCAGGCTTGTTCGAGATAGTTCAGCACTGCAAATCTCGAACTGTGAGAGCGATTCGAAAAAACATTAGAAAAAGATTTGATTCAAAAGCAGGACTCGTAAACTCTCCAAACACTCCAGCAGCTCCGATCAGTCCACGCTGCTCCGATGCATCTCGAACAAGCCTTCCATCAACAATGGAGGTTGTTGTGTTACTATGCTCATGGGTTTGCAAACCTAGATCGGTATCCAGCACGTCCGTGCAGCTCGCCGTAACTAGGGCTGTCGCGATAACCACAATACCGCGTAGTACTGCGCTTCTGGTAAAAAATGCGGTCCGAGTTGCGGGCGGGTTATTTGAAAACGTTGGTCGGGTGTTTTTTATACACTGACCTGCGCATCACTGGTAGTTATATATCTATAGCTAATCACCAAGACACCTGTCCTGTTCTCCACTGGTTCTCCTCACACCACAATTCAATTTGTCTCTGACCGTTCTGTCTAACATTATCCTGGCCTGTCCCCTCTCTCTTAGCAGCATAGCAGGCTCATAACTGTATGGCTGTGGTCCAATTTCCTCCGCGCATGAAATGACGATGCGATCCATTGTTTTCCTGTTGTATGAATCGACCGATCTCCCGTCCGTTATGCCCATTTTCAGGCGCGGAAGTAAAATTCTCTCACAAAAACGACTCCAGAAGCCTCTGTAGCTTTTTTATAAGTATATTTTAAAGAAAATCTAGTTCCTGGATAACACCATTTTTTTTTCTGTTACGATAGTCACTGTGTCGGATTACACGATTTTGACTCCTAAAATCTTGTCGTGTCGTGGATGAGAAATATGTCAGATCACACGTTGCTTTTTGACCAGTCATCGTGTGCCGTCTTCAACGAGGCGCGTGATGTCATCGAGAAGGCGAAACTAGTTGCGATTGACTTCCGGAAACGAACGTAAACAAACAACGGATGCCATTTTTGAAAGTTGTGTCCGGAAAAGCTTGTGCTCCTATTGGTCAACCTCATGCATGTGACGGAACCGTCGTGGACGACCGTTAAAAAAATTAAACATGCTAGTCTTTTTGTCGTGATGTGAAGCATTGTAGAAGCAGACTGATCTCATGAAGTAGCGTGTGTATGACACGCCAATTCGTATTTCCATTTTTGCCGTGCTATCAAGACGCATAATCGCCTTTCAGCATGTTTATGAACGCCGTTGACTTAACGTTATATAAAGATATGACTTACCTCAACCCCGTCCCTAAACTTAACCGTCACTGGGGTTAATGGCATTTATGACTGGAGATTTGACTGCGTGTACAGACACGTGGAATGACGCGGATGTTAATGGCGTAGACATATACGCATACACGCGGATAGCTCAAAATGCGTAGAGATAACACGCCACCTGACTCGAAAGTGGCGTATATGTTTACGCAAAAGTCATGATGTCATGTTGGTAGAAGCGACGTAGGTTGTCGCCCACTATGACACACTATACAAGATGACGTCCCGACGCCCGTTGTCGTTTACGAATCCCCACGACATCCTACGTCAACTGGATCGTGCCAAAATCGGGCTAAAATCGTGTAATCTGAACCAGGCATTAGTGACAATAAAAATTACTGAGAGTAAATCCTCACAGGTGCACCCACACCATTCAACCTCATGGGCATTATACCCACTTTTGTTTGCATTATTTTCCTGTTATCTCTGTAAATCTGCTTTAAAACAATCTGTATTGTAAAAAGTCCTTTATTAATAAAGGTGACTTGGCTATAATATTAAGACAGGACCAGAGGTGTAGTGGTAAAAAAAGAGAGGTGGGTAAACTATAAATTCTGGTGTATGTGCATCTCCTGATGACATTGCTATATAGGGAGGGCTCGACATTAAGCCTTTTCATACGCTTTTCATAAATCTGCCATTCATTTGTCTGAGTAAAAAGTTGCTCATCCGGATTTTTTATTTTTATTTTGTGTGTGTTAATTTATTCTGAAACAATATTCTCATCAGTGTTCAATCAGCTTTGATATTTAAATTACAATATTGTAATGTCTGCACCTTTAAAGGGCACCCCCTCCCCCAATATTATTAAATGTATGCTTCATCTTTCATTTTAAATTCCTAAATTTGATCAATAAATTTAATTATTTCGAATAATAAGACACTATAGGGCTGTTACCCTAGGGGCTGATCAAATTAAATTATTTACACTGAAAAATTACAATTGGATAAAATAATGTTATGAAATTGATTTAAATTTACATATAAGAAACATTGGAAAGAATGATACTACTTTTAAACATTTAAAACTAAATCACCAGTAGGGGGCAGCAGGCGTCAAGAATGAGACAGATGTTTTTGAATGGGCCATTGAATCTTTGACTCAATCGATTCGTTCAAAATGCTGAATCATTCAGTAATGAAAACAGGTTGAGTGTTCCTGTGACATGTGCCGTGGTTCTGCTGTGATTTTTGTTTGGAACTATTTTCACTGCAGAAACAGAATAAAAACAGCTTGTTTTAGGAAATCAATGTCACATTTTCAATCGTGATGGTGTTCAGGAAAAATAATTGAAGTTGCTTTACATATGTTAAAAATATAAAAACTCCACATTTAGATTTTTTATAGGCAGCATGTTGTTAACTGAGTGTGTGACTGTGTTGTGCTCATTTGTGTAGATTTCTGCTCAAGAAGCTGCGCGACCTCACCGTCAGTAATAATCAACAACACTAACAGTAGGTGCCCTTCAAGTCCCCCAAACTTGCTTCAAAGATTTTCAATTGAAGGAAATCATGAAATGCATTTTAATGCTGACAATTAATAACCAGTTGCCTTTGCATTATAATGCAACACAATTGCTTTAAAAAAAAATAATTTAAACATAATTGTTTGCATAAGTAGTAGACAACAAGCATGTTTGCTTGTCCGCACTAACCATCATTACATTTTAATAGAATATCAAACAAATGAAGTACAATTAATACCAAAATGTTGTTGCTAATATAATCATATGTTGGTCTAGCCCTCCTATTATCCTTGGGGTCAATTTGACCCCATTCAATGTTTAACGTCTGTAAAAACATAATTTTATTATTTTTTTTGCTTCAAATTTAATGACCTTTCCTAATTTAATGGGGACAACTCTGTAAACATAAAATTAACCTGCTAATATTTTTTCAAAGTCCTGTACAAATTTTGTAGTATCGGTGTTCCTTGGGGTCAATTTGACCTCAGGCTCTTTTAGTTGTATAATAAAACAGAAAAATATTAAAATTTCACACACGTTTGTTTTGGTTGTTATATTGAGGTCATTATAACATGTTAAAATTTGAATTTATAATGTTCATTGTAATTTTACATATTCAATATCATTTTCAAAAAACGTCCCTCTGTTTTAGGGCTCTAACCAAACATAACCATATCTGTAGTATTGCGAGAACTACTAGTAGTTCACATGACATGTGACATAATTCTCAAGATAACTAATAATTCTTTCCTGCGCATTGGGGAGGGGAAAACATCATTTTTGTGAGAACTTTGATGTTTCCCGTGCCATGGGGGAGGAGAAAACATATTTTTTTGTGAGATTGACCCCAAACATAACTCGTGTTACTATCCTTGATAAAATAAATAGTTTTTCTTTCCAAAAGTTATAGATTACAAAAATCTATACTTAGAAATATTTAAAAACAAATAAAACACCAGATGTATTTATACTTTTCCAATTTTTGGTCAAATCAGTAAGATTTTATGTTGATGTTGTAAATTTGTCCATAGTCGTGCAATGGGTATTCTGGATGTGTAAGGGGTTAGGTGGGGGGTGGTGGGTGGATGTCAACTTAAAACGTTACTTAAGTAGTCAACAAAGAAATAAATTAACTGAGACAAACCTTTGTAAAAAAAAAAAAAAAACATATTGTGGAGGTTTAAATTACTGGGGTTAAATTGACCCCAGAGGGTAAAAAGTGTTATCAGATTTGAGGGTAACAGGAGGGCTAGTGTATTTTCATTGACTGTTGTGAAATGGAAAATCAATAATCACTAATTGAGAATCGTTAATAATTGAAAATCGACTGTAATCGAATCAGGACTTCAATAATCGTGATGGAATCGAGAAATCAGACAGATTAACCACCCCTAGCGTCCAGCCAGTAGAAAGTCATCAACATACACAGCCTTAATGAACATCTCACCAGTTGCTGCAGTGTAAATGCAGGGATCAGCTTTAATTTGTACAAACCCCATCTTTTTCATCTTGGATGATGTTCCAACATCTTGGTGATTGTTTCAGTCCATAGATGCTGTGATTTAGTTTGCACTCTAGATGTGCACACCTAGACCCCTGGTGTATAGGTTCTAACATACATGTTTTTAGTTTTTAATGTTTTTGTGTGTCTAAATGTTTATGCATTGTGGCATTAAACTGGAATTAATTGTTTTGTCTTTTTTCGCCTCAGACTTGATGCCGTTGAAAGAGGAGAGTCAAGATCTGAATGAAAGGGAAAAGAAAGATCAGGACAAGACACATCATAATTTCAGAACTGAAGAAAACTCTTTGAATTGTTCACAGACTGAAACAACTTCCTCACAAAAAACAGCTCGAAAGACAGGGAGAATAGGTCATTTCATCTGCCATCTGTGTGGACTGAGTTTCATAAAGCTGGGATGTTTTGAAGTCCACATGAGACTTCACACTGAAAGGAAGCCTTTCCAATGCCAGGAGTGTGGAGTCAATTTCATTCAACAACAAAACCTGAAAGTCCACATGAGAATTCACACTGGAGAGAAGCCTTTCACCTGCTCTCAGTGTGGAAAGGGTTTCAGTCAAAAAGGAAACCTTAAACGCCACATGATGGTTCACACTGGAGAGACCCCGTACAGCTGCCAACAGTGTGGGACACGTTTCACTAATAAAGACAATCTTTTAAAACACATGATCATTCACCAAAGAAAGGACTCTTTAACATGCCAATGGTGTGGAAATACTTTTAAACAATATGGAAACCTTAAAGTCCACTTGAAAATTCATTCTGGCGAAAAGTAGAATAAAGTCAAATAAACATTTTTACGTTAGTGTTTGTGCAAATGCAAGTATGACACTTTACGTACTGATGCGCTCATGAGGTCGCGTTATACACATTTTTGTGTATATGATACATGTTGATGTGTGTGATGAATAGTTAAAGGAGAACTCCGGCGAACAATGAACCTTTGGTCTAATAAAATATTGGTACCCAGTCGATCGTTCTCTGAGATTTGTTTTCATGATAATCGAATGTAAAGAGTTTTATCTCTAAAAACTGTTTAGCGTATAACACTAGTAATGGGGGCATTGACTAAGTAAAAAGAAATGGCTAGTTTATACCACTAACAAGGCTCAAAATATCCCCACACTAACACAGTAACATAATGAGACTCCATACGTGCAAAACGAAGCATTGAGAACTTTGTAAGTGTACAGACCGTTTAATAAGTAGATACTTTATGAAGACAGTTCACTTCGTGTATACAGACAGGAGCCATCTTAAAAAATAGTCTCAATAAGTCAAACCACGAACGTTGTGCTGAGCGATCTGAACTGTATGAACGGCGTTCGGGGATCGACTTATCGAGACTATTTTTTAAGATGGCTCCTGTCTGTATACGCGAAGTGAACTGTCTTCATAAAGTATCTTCTATAAAGTACCGTATAAATTACTTTATACCATGAAGTACGGTATAAAGTATCGATGTTTTATTAGACCAAAGGTTCATTGTTCGCCGGAGTTCTCCTTTAAGACTTGAGATTAGGGGATACAAAAAAACTTTGTCTAATGATTTATTCATGTGTTTACTGCAGTGTAAGTGCTGATTGGTGAAGGTACAGACAGTTGTCTTCTCTAACAGACAATGGGTCTCATTCATGAAACACGAGCAGAACGAATTTTTGTGTAAATCGTGTGTAAAGTGGTTCTGGCGTAAATTTTCGGACTTATTAAAATGTTGTTTTTTCCAAATGTTCAACATGACATCATGACTTTTGCGTAAACCAGGGATGCCCAACCCTGCTCCTGCCGATCGACTGTCCTGCACAGTTCATCTCCAACCCTAATCAAACACACCTGCCTTTAATTTTCACGTGAACCTGAAGACCTTAATTGGTTGCTTCAGGTGTGTTTGATTAGGGTTGGAGATAAACTGTGTAGGACAGTCGATCGGCAGGAGCAGGGTTGGGCACCCCTGGCGTAAACATACATGCCACTTTCGAGTCAAGTGGCGTGTTATCTCTACGCATTTTGAGCTATCCGCGTGTATGTCTACGCCATTAACGTCTGAGTGATTCTCATGTCTGTACACGCCGTCAAATGTCCGTGCGAAACAAAGCAAAATGTAGATCTACATCTGGGGCGCGATCTTTTTTTTCCCTAGGATGGTGAGGGAACACTCATAAATGCCATTAACCCCAGTGACGGATAGGTTTAGGGACGGGGTTGAGGTAAGTCATATATTTATATATACAGTAATAACGTTAAGTCAACGGCGTTCATATACACTCTGAAAAGCGATTATCCATCTTGATAGCACGCCAAAAATGGAAATACGAATTGGCGTGTCATACACACGCTACTTCATGAGATCAGTCTGAAATGTTAGTTGGTACGAAAGAAATGCTCCCAGCGTGGTAAATAGTGCGCTTAACATCCGAACGTTTTGCTCATTAATAAGGCTGCATTTTAATCACCTTAATCTGGTACATATTCACACAGAAATTTTGAAAAAATATTATGTTTAGTAAGTAATTACATACATTTTTCTTTTTACTTGTATAATGGGAGCCAGTAATATCATCTATGATGGTGGAGCTCCTCCAGTTTGAATAAGATTTTTCCCAAGAGAACTAATTCGTTTTTTGCTGTCTAGCTTAATGTCAAACCATTTTCTTTTAATTTCTGGGACTGTTCGATTAACAGATGAAACTCCATTTGGTGCATCTGTTATATGCTGCCAAGCTTCCTTTTTTTAGGACTTGATACGCCACTATGTTCGCTTGAAAATAAAATGTGGCGTTTTGAATGAACTTCTGATAATAAAACTTCAATTTCTGCATCTGAGAAATTTTTCTTTTTCATTCGCGTTCAAATCATAATATGATGCCCATATATATAGTTGTCAGTCGTATTTAATAGGCGGGATTTATGGTAATTGAGAATGAACGTGCTCGCGCGTCCCATTTATGACTCATTGGAATTCATTAAGACACACATATCTCACTATCACATCTGATGTTTACAAAGTATTTCTGAATCAGGAGAAGAGTTTTCAGGAAGGCCTCTTTACGCGCAAATCACTCACATATTTACTCGTATATTTACAAATGTTTCATGAATGAGACCCATTGACTCTTTATCTGATGTGAGCTTCAGTGGAAGGTATACTAGAAAATATTGGAATCAAGGCATCTTATCAATCAGCAGTGGCCTGGAGCACCTCAAACAGTCATCTTGCAGAAATCATAAATATAGCTTTTTTTGAACCTGGCTTCTCCCACAGCTATAGTAATAACATCATAACTAAACATGGTAAGTTTATATACCTCTCAAATGATTTGGTTGAATAGTTGTGTTAATGTAATAATTATTTGATGTAGCCTACTAAAACTTTAAGAATTATTCATAGTACTAAACTACATTTTTTTAATTGTTTGCGTGCTTGAGTTACACTATTACGTTGTGTGCAGTGAGATGTTAACTTTTAAGCTGGTGTGAGAAAATGGCACTATCAAAGAGTCTAAAGAGGAAAGTTGACAGGAAATATGCCCACATATCATACATATCCGGGCCTCATCTGGGTACATGTTGCTCAGTTTTGGCAGCGTTGTTTATTTGTAAACTTGTATATAGGATAAGGATGGAAAGAAACGTATAAAGATACTGAGACAATTTGCACTGTATACAGCCTTAAAAGGCAGCAATCACATAGACCAGAAAATAAATTCTCAGTCACCTGCAACATCTGAAATGTCAAGTCAAGTCACCTTTATTTATAAAGCGCTTTTACCAGTATGGGTTGTTTCAAAGCGGCTTCACAGTTATTGTACAAATTACCATAACAGAGTGTTTAGGCTGTACAACAGGATTGGGATAAAGTTATTGTCCAGCTAAAGTTAGTCAATCAATACTTTTTTTGGACTAATGTAGTTTGCACATGCACACAGATCATCTGTTATCATCATCTGTTATCTTTGTGGGTACTCTCAATAGATGTCTGCAAGAAGGTCTCTGAGCTAGTGGTGGAAATAGGTACTGCAGTCCAAATTCCTTAGACTTGGCTCTTTACACAGGTTGCCAGTTTAAGGACACGCAACAGGAACTGATGTAATTAAAGGAGAACTCCGGCACAAAATGAACCTTTGGTCTAATTACACATTGTTACTGTTAGAAATGAACGACTTCCAACAAGTGCCTTTTCCTCCACGTCCTTTTATTGAGTTGTGAACAGACCATACAGAATAAAAACCACCAGCGCTGGGGGAGCCAGAATAGATAGCTCAGCCTCCCCATATGTGACATGCAAATATATATGAAAATATCAAGGGGAGTTATATGGTCTTATCCAATAGAATTATATATGACCTCATGCCATATCATATATACGTTGTATAACATTTATATAATAACTCCGAATATGGTCAATATCCGTTGAAAATACCCTCAGAACCTAGGGATCCTAGAAGACTTTCTATATGTAACAAAAGAAAGAAGAACAGAAAGAGGAGAGGGAGAAACTCTCCAGATGTTTGAACTTACACACATACATACAGAGGAATGTGCAAGCAAAGCATGAACTCTTCATAGAGCCTTTACACTCTTGGGCCTAATGGACATAGCTGAGACTAAAAAGACTTATATTTCTGACAGTTACCTAATCAACCGTTATCTGAGATTTGTTTTCATGATTGACGAATGTAAATAGTTTTATCTATAAAAACAGTTTAGCCTATAACGCTAGTATAATGCTAGTATATAGGGCATAGAGTAATGACAAATAAAAATCGCTTGTTATTACCACTAAGAAGGCTCAAAATAGCCCCACACTAACACGGTAGCATAATAAGGGTCCCTACATTCAAACCGAAGCATTGAAAACTTTGTAAGTGTCCAAACAGTTTAATAAGAAGATATTTTATACACACAGTCAACTTCACGAAAACAGGAAGAAGCCATCTTTGAAAAATAGTCTCTACCGGTCGATCTACGAACACCGATCTAAGTGCGCTGAACTGTGCAGAATCTCATATGGTCCGTTGTTTCCAGAAGAAACACAAACACAAACCGTTTTTTTCTCTTCAATATGTACATGTAGACTACTGTTCGTGCTCACTTTATCACCTTATTCACATCTCACCAGCGCACTTGGATCGGCGTTCGTAGATCGACTGGTAGAGACTTCCTTAGATTTCCACGACGCATGCGCGAGAATTGCGATCTCCTTACACTACTTCAGTTCAGTTCTCACGCATGCGTCGTGGAAATCTAAGGAAGTCTCGTTTCTGGCCTACAAGGAAGAAAAGGAATAGTCGAATAAACTCGTTATTTTTGTTTGTTTTTTCGCACAAAAAGTATTCTCGTCGCTTGATAAACATATAGTTGAGCCACGGTAGTCACTTGGGATATTTAAACATTTTCTTCATTGACTTTCTGGGCCGTCAAGAGCCAGTCCCTTAGGAGCCTATGTGGTAGTTATACAGCTCTCAAATTTAATCAAAAATATCTTTTTTTTTATATATTTGTGTTCCGAAGACGAACGAAGGTCTTACGGGGTTGGTACAGCATGGGGGTGAGTAATTAATGACTTAATTTTCATCTTTGGGTGAACTAACCCTTTAATAAAATATTTCAACTAAAGTCAATATTTCGTTTATTTATTAACTCATGTGGCAGTGTAATAAGCGTGATAATGTACATCCAGCTGGTTGTACATGCTATTTTACCCACAGAATTTTATAATTGTAGTAAACCCCTTGATTTATTTTAAAGAGGTTTAACCAGATTTATGATTTTTTTTAAAGGGTAAAAAATATAACCATTATGTAAATAAAAAAATAAAAGTTTAACAAACATTTACTATGTACACCCTCATTAGGACAATCGGCGATACACAAGTGTACTCCAACACAGCACTGCACTCTAGTGGACATCCCCATCTTAGGGTTAGGCCAGACAAAGGGTTGCAACACAAAGCGTCCCCATCTTCCACTGAGCGAGAGAAGCCAGTCATTTCTACTCCTGCCAAGCTGCTTTTTCTCTCAGTCCATGGCACAAACGTGCTCCAGAAAGGTTCAGATGGGCAGGACGAAAGCCAAACAAAAAGAGAAGTACCCAGCGTTCAGCACAATATTACTGTAATGGCATTATTTTTGCAATGCGCTTCTCACATTGCAAATACAGACAATATATTCTATGCAATTGCTCATTATTTTAAAGAGTAAGCACACAAAAAAGTAGAACATTAAACGTAATTATTTCATAATAATCCAAGTGAAATGCATGAATCAGTAGGCAAAGATTGGATAATTAGGTGGAGTGTGAGGACTTCATTATTATAGCTAACATAGTTAATATATGAAAAATGTCCCTAATATACATGAAGCATTATTTTTAATTAAAGTGTAATATGGTTTGTGTTATTACTCAAAACCGTTTTTTGTGTGTGTGTGTGTGTGTGTGTTTTTTTTTTACAGACAAACAACAGCATGTGAACGGGACTTTTATTTTGGTCTGGTTATGTGACGTCATCAGACTGTGCCGCGCTTCAGCATCTGTTGTGATTCTGATAAAGAAAGGTTTGTTTTTTGCGCATTTAAACTGTTTAAATCAATGCAAACTGTACCAACAATTTAAATTATTTTATTTTTTTTACAAGATATTAACCTCCGAGGTAGTCGAATCAGTTGTTTCTTCAGTGATTAAGTGCTCGAGCTTAACGTCACCAGCTGCTGAAAACAACATAACACAAATGTGTAATGTCAACTTTTATAAATCTACAGTTAACTTCTGCTGTTTTCACGAATGCCTGTAATAATTACATATAATATGATAATTTAATATGAACTTTAATATGAACTTTTGGTATTATTTGTATTTGAATCGGGTGATTTAAGTCCATTAAGTAACTCACTCACTCTCTCTCTCTCTCTCTCTCTCTCTGACTGACTCTCTTACCAGTGAACTACTGAATTAGAGCTGATTGAGACACACTCAGAGATTAAGTTTGGATTTATTTTCTTTCTGTTGAATGTTCTTGTCTTAAACAGTACAAATACACAGAAAAACTCCTGGTGGAGTGACTGAGATCCACGTGACACACTCACAAGAGGAGAGTGAAAACATGAAGATTGTAGAAATATTTAGTGTGAAACGAGAAGAAACTGAGGAACAAACAAAGATGGCGTTTATTAAAGAGGAGAGTGAAGACATAAGGATTGAAGAAACATTCAGTGTGAAACATGAAGATACCGAGGAACAAACACAGATGGCATTTAGTAAAGAGGAGACTGAAGACATCAGGATTGAAGAAACATTCAGTGTGAAACAAGAAGAAACTAAAGAACAAACAGGTTAGTTTCATTCTCAAAAGCTGAACTCAGTCATTTGATCCCAATGTAAATGTCCAGCTCTAAAGAAATTAATGATAATTTAAAAATGTCATATGAATGTCCAAATTATTTGATTATTCGAGTGGGTCACCTCATGTGGACAGACATGTTAAGATAACATGACCATACAAACTAGTGCTGTCTTCAGAGTCAATTTCAACAATACATTTGATAGGAATGTGTCTTGGTATGCCCACATATACCACTTAATTTACAATATTACACTGGCCCAACAACACATACCACACATATACATCACAAACAAATACAACACAAATACCCACAGTTTCTTCAACCTGAGAAGATCCGATTTCCATGTTTGGTGTTTGTTATTAAGCATTAAACTGGGAAAAATAATTCAGACAATATTATTTAAACCTCAAATTGACTTTTTATCTCCTAATTATGAAATAGTATCTAACAAAAACATGAAGACTACGGTTACAAAAATTCAGATGATTAAAAAAAACTTGACTTATAACAATATGTTATCTTAAAACATTTTGACATACCTGAACTTAAATATGAATTGAACAAATCTGTAAATAAGTCAGTAGTTTTTACATCACATTAAGGCCCACAAGAAACTGTTTAAATCAAAGACAAAATGAGCACTTGACTTTCACATCTCCTATCAAGATCAGTTGTATGACAATAAATACAAATTTTCACGATTATCAGTTATACATTTTTGTTAAGACGTGCTGTAAATGTTCAAAATTACACTGTTACGGCCCAAAACCAACTTAAGCTTTTTTTTTTAAACCTTTTAAAGGGATAGTTCACTTTGAAATAATTTTTGGTATGTTTTATCTTACCTCAAGGGCATCCAAGATGTAGGTGTCTTTGTTTCCACAGTATTTTCAATTTTGATATTTTTAGGTCAAATCGTTCTTGTCTGTCAGTCATATAATGGAGATCTATGGTCACCACCTCAAAGAGCATGCACAGAGAAGTCCAAATTAAACATGATTTAATAACTCGTAAATGTAAGTACACATAGATGGCCTAAGACACGAAACGAGCGGTTTGTGTAAGAAAACGAACAGTATTTATATCAGAGAAACAAAGCTAACGATATGGATTTCGATGATGATCATTCCAGCTGCTGTTGGGAGAAAGAGGAAGGCATCTAAAGAAAATCATCAAAGGGAGAAGACCAAACGGGCAAGGCATTCAGGGGAGGGAAAACATCCAAAGATTAATTGTGGTCATCGTGCGACTGCGAGTAATGTTGGTCTGTGTCATGCCAACAAACTGTCAGATGAAGATGTAGCCTTCAACTTCACAAAAATGTATAAAAACACTACAAAAGTGGACCAGGATAAAATAATCCTCCATCTGTCAACAATAAACAAATGCAGCAGGGAACGGGTCTCCGCTGATGTCAAGAAGAAAGCCAGGCAGGTTGCAGTGAAATACTGCCTTTTGTCCTGCGCTCCTCCCCATCACAAGATACCTGTCTGCAAGGCTACATTTCTAAGTGTCCTTGGTAAGTTTATTTTTTAAATAATTTCTTACATGTAGCTAAGTAGCCTATCTGAAGATTTACTGCAGTTTGTTTGCTCTGACAGCTCAGCTAGACAGGCAGCGCAACTGTGTGTTTTTTTTTAAAGGGTTAGTTCACCCAAAAATAAAAATTAAGTCATTAATTACTCACCCCCATGCTGTACCAACCCCGTAAGACCTTCGTTCATCTTCGGAGCACAAATGAAGATATTTTTGATTAAATTTGAGAGCTGTATAACTACCACATTGGCTCCTAAGGGACTGGCTCTTGACGGCCCAGAAAGTCAATGAAGAAAATGTTTTTATCAAAATTTTTGTTTGTTTTTTCGCACAAAAAGTATTCTCGTCGCTTGATAAACTTATAATTGAGCCACTGTAGTCACATGGAATATTTAAACATTTTCTTCATTGACTTTCTGGGCCGTCAAGAGCCAGTCCCTTAGGAAGCCTATGTGGTAGTGATGCAGCTCTCAAATTTAATCAAAAATATCTTCATTTGTGCTCCGAAGATGAACGAAGGTCTTACGGGGTTGGTACAGCATGGGGGTGAGTAATTAATGACTTAATTTTTATTTTTGGGTGAACTAACCCTTTAATGCCTACTGTCCCGATGTGAAGCACAAGCACACAGACATCCGCACGTTGCTATCCGACCTTTTCATTCAAGGACTGCCCTGGATTACTGGCACACGCCACAGTCGCATTATGTTTATTATGGCATTATGTTTTTGAATATTATGAATATTTACGATTAATTGATAAATTATTGTTAATTTTCCCACTGATGATCCAAAAGATTTCTTCAAATGCCCATCCTGAACCCAGGTGCTATAAACATAGTCTAAGATGGCTTGTTCAATCTTGGGTAGAAGCCAGAAGTGTAGCCTTTTATTAAATTAATTTATGATTTTCAGGTTCCAGAAAAAAAAAAAAAAAAAAAAAAAAAAACGAAGACAACCTTATTAAAGCTGCTGTCCGTAACTTTTTTTAAGTTAAAAATAATCCAAAGTAATTATTTAAAAAAAAAATAAAAACATTCTGCTAGTGGTCAAAACTATCTGCTTGCCATAGCTAGATTCAAAACGGTTAGCTTGTAATAATGATTTTAATTCCAGTGGTACTGGTGGGTTTCCACGGGAAATTCGAGCATGTCTTTGCGCCATTACGTCTCACTCGTACACATAAAGAAGGAGTTTCGGCTAGCCGGCTATACTGCGCGTGAGGAGATGTAAAGATGTATAGGCTTTTCTCGCAGGCTCGCAGGACTTCACATAATTAAACTTATGGCATCCAGAAAGATCCAAACAACAATCATCAGTGTCAACTGGAGATTCAGCAGTTATAAAACCCAAAAGACTTCGTACTTCGGATTTAAGGTGTCTAGAGAAAGAGAAAGAAACCGTCTCATGCGAACACAAGGATTTAAACAGCGGCGGGGCTTTTGAAAAGTGCGCTAACTCCGTGTTTTGAAGGAGTTCAAAACGGAAGAAGAGACGGCTTTTTCAAGACGGCTTTTTAAGACATTTCAATAGTTCAATCGTGTAACAGTACGTTTTCTTAATTCACACAGTTATGGAGTGTCCTTTGTTTTGCCTTTCCTTTGTTTTGCCTTTCTCGTTTTGCTATTATGGAGAATATGAATTCTGAACTACACACTAATCATAAAATACATTAAATTTAACATTAGTCACGCAATGCTGATGTTGTTAACATGAACAATTTGAGAACAAAGTAGGCTATAATTTGCACAGTTGCTGACTGTAAATCGCGTTGATTAAATCTAACGATTATCATTTCGAATGCTTTTCCCCCTTAGTTGATCAGAACGAAATGGATGTTACTTAAGCCAAGTTCACACTACATGATTTTAAGCCCGATTTATGCCCGATTTGCGAATCGTTAAGTCGCCGACAGGTCAGGGTGTTATCGCGTGCAAATCGCGGGAGATTAGCGGACGATGAACGCTTGCCAATCTGTTAGTATGAAAGAGCCAACAACGCAGCGAAAACGCTCGCAGACGCCTCGCAGACGCATCGCAGAGCCCAGAAAAATATCTAGCCTGCTAGATATCCAGAGCAGTCGTGCGACTCAAACTCAGTGATGTCATGAGTACAGCCAATCATTGCAACGCATGGGTTGAGGACACCAGGTAAATCTTAGTTTTTCTCTCTTTTTTGCATTTTTTCCCTCAGAGCAGATCGTCGAGCAAACAGTGTGCAGCACTAGTTTCTGTCTGACGTTTATTTATTTATTGCGTGTTTTTTTCGTGACAAAACGTGGTTTGTTGACAAGATAGAATCGTTGGGTGACAGAGTTGTTGTCAACTTGTTATTTATTTGATTATTTTCAGGATTTAGACCGTAACATAGTACTGAAACAGCTCTTATTGAGTCACAAATGATTTGCTCTTATCATCCGATCGTGGTTGTATCTCTATGTAGTGCGTTGTCAACTCGTGTAGTGAGTTACCTCCTGTTGTGGATCAATCACGTTGTGTTGTGTGGTGTGAACAGTTAACACCTTGAACACTCCAGATTTCACTGAGAGCAAGTCATGTAGTGTAAACCGCACAGTTCAGCCCGACGTTTTAAAATCATGTAGTGTGATTAAGGCATTACTTGTTCAGAAGACATTTTCCGGTGAATATTTTTATGTTGTTCAAACTTTCAAAAAGTAAATCTGTGATTCTGTATGACAGTATCCACGCAGCGCGGTGATTGACAGCAGCACTCGCCTCAAAACACTGTGTTCTTTCGCGCTGTTTCATGCGATTTACAACCCACGTAAAGATGATGATTCCGCGAATAACTCCAATTGCATATTTCGAACAGAGATGACGACAAAAAGGGAAAGCTACGGACTGCAGCTTTAAAGGAGTAGTTCACTTTTCAAAAAATCTTTTGCTGATAATTTACTCACCCCCATGTCATCCAAGATGCCCATGTTTTCTTTCTTCAGTCGAAAAGAAATTAAGGTTTTTGATGAAAACATTACAGGATTTTCTCCATATAATGGACTTCAATTGGAACCAAACGGTTAAAGGTCCAAAAGACAAGCGAAACGATCGCTCAAAAAAAAAACCCCAAAAAAAACAAAGTTTAAGTTTTATAAGCTTAAATGCTCGCCTTGCTCTGTTCTGTGATGCGCGTTCGTGACTCTCCCGAGTCTTTTTCCGAGTCAATTCATTTGTTTCGTTCATTGAATGAACCAAATGACTCGGAAAAAGATTTGTTAATTTTTGTGAACGAGTTCGAATAGGAGAGTCACGAACGCGCATCACAGAACAGAGCAAGGTGACCATTTGAGCTTATAAAACTTAAACTTTGTTATTTATTTATTAAATGAGCGATCGTTTCGCTTGACAAGGCCCTTATTCATCGTCTGGAATCATTTAAAGCCCTTCGAACCGTTTTCAGTTTGTACCGAAACTGTCTTTTGGACCTTGAACCGTTTGGTGCCCAGTAAAGTGTATTAGATGGAGAAAAATCCTGGAATGTTTTCATCAAAAACCTTAATTTCTTTTCGACTGAAGAACGAAAGACATGGACATCTTGGATGACACGGGGGTGAGTAAATTATCAGCAAAATTTTTTCCAAAAGTGAACTATTCCTTTAATACCTTTTCTGTACTCCACAGGTGTTAGTAAAGACAGAGTCTCCAGAGTGGTGAAATACTTCAGTCTACATGGTGAAGCCAGACCAGAGTTCAGGGGTGGGAGCAGAAATGTTGATGAGAAGATGGAGAACAGACGGGCAGTAGTTCAGCATGTGTCCTCATTTATGTGCAAGGCCAGCCACTACCCTCATCGTGGTGTACCTGGACGGAAGTACCTCCCAAGTGACATGTCGGTAACCAAAATGCACCAGCTGTACCAGGAGCAGAGCCACAGGGACATCAGCTACTCCCTGTATTACAATGTTTTCTGCACCTCATTCAACTTGGGATTTGGGCATCCAGCAAAGGACTGCTGTGCCACCTGTATGAGCTCGAGACTCCGTATGAAAGATCCTCACCTTACTGAGGAAGAGAGGAAGGCAGAGATCGTATCTGCCATGCTCCACCGACGCAGAACCCGGGTTTTCTACACTTTGTTAAATGCAGTGGGGGACACAGTTACTGTCTGCTTTGACATGATGCAGAACCTCTCTCTGCCCAAGTCTCCCATTGGCCAGACCTACTACTCTAGACAGCTTTACATGTATGTGTTTGGTGTTGTGGTCCACCACGGAGAGAGGAGTCGGCAGGCACTGAGTGACCGTCATCTCTACGTGTGGCTTGAAAATCAAAATAGAAAAGACAGCAACATGACCGCCTCTGCCTTGGACCATTGCCTGAGAACCATTCTAGCCGAAGATGTCCAACAGGCTGGCCATTTGAGGCTCTTCAGCGATTCCTGCTATGGACAAAACAAGCACAGTACCATGGTGGGAATGCTGTCCAGCCTACGAAGCACTGTCTTTAAAGATGTGAAAATGGAGTGGTTCTTCCCTGTCAGTGGCCATAGTTTTCTCCCTGTTGACAGAGTTTTTGGAAGAATTGAGCAGGATATTCGTAAGCAGGACACCATCCTCCTGCCAGACAAATACACCAACATCCTGAAGAAGCACGGCTCTGTGTATGTGTACGGGAAGGACTGGGAGAGCTTTGACCACAAAGCTGCAGCCAAGGCTCTCATGCAGTCCACGCAGTCTTACAAGATCAGCGAAGCCCAGGTGCTGGAGATCGATGGCAAAGGGTTGGGGGTGAGAACCACCTTCAGCGGTCCCACCTACCAGCACACTCTCCTGAAGAGAGGCAACAACTGGGGCCAGTATAAAGCAGATCCCCTGCCCATGATGACCACAGTGAAGGCTGTGAAGAAGAAGGACATCATCAGCCTGCTTAAAGCCATTGGTGCCCCAGCAAATGTCGAGGCCTTCTACAATCACGCGTTGGCTGTGACCAGTGATGTCACAGCTGGCATCTGACACACTGGCATCTGAAGCCCATGTGACACTCAAGAAAACACACACAAAACATTGATTCGCTAGCTTTTCTTAATGGTATTACAGTAAAAGAATATAGCCTAAGGTGGATATATATAGCGTTTTGCAAAAAAAAATAAAAAAAAGTTGTGATGTTGTGTATGTTCTGGCCAAAACTAACTCTTATTTTTATCGTATTTTTCTTAATCAATCTTTGTATATACCATTCCATAAATTTATGATGTATTGTTTTTTTTAACCAATTTAAATTTAAACTCCCACTGCAGGTACAATAATAGCCTACTTTTATCAGCTTGACGTTGAACTAATGCTCTGTGCTCGTACCATGATAATGTTACAATAAACTGCATTTAGCTGACATGTGATGTTATGTAGCGTAAGCCATTTCTCTAACTATTCGTGTATCTTTCACAATCAACAATGCCAACATAGGTGAATGTATAATATGATAACGAACACGGTTAGTGAACTAAACTGAACAGTTTCAGTGTATCAGTAAGATCATAGGAAGTGACATTACTGTACTGAACGTGTCTGGAAATGTGTATAAACAATATGATGGTAGTGGGATGACGACGTTAGTCAGTAGACCTAGTAAATAAAATAAGTTACACCCTAAAGCACCGACTTTTTGTTATCCTGGAACATTCTTTTGTATTCATGTCATGTTTCATGTAGAGTTTACCTTGCTATTTCACTAGAGTTTACTATGTTGATCCGTGTTTTCGTCCGGAGTCGATCAGATTCACGTTTTGCCTGACGAGCTTGAGCAGATAAAACTTTTTTGTTTTTTATATTTATGTGGAGTTTATGTTGGAGTCTGTGTTGTGGTGGAGGCAGTACGTTTTGGGGGGTTATTAGACTCCATATCCGCAGCTATCGAACTATCCAAACTGTTATAGACCTAAAATAGCTTTTGAAGCCCTATGTCCCTCTTATTTAGAAAATAGATTATTTAGAAAATAGAACATTGTACTTTGCATATTATAGGCCAATGTAAAAAAAACACATAATTAAAGTTGATTTTAGTTGATCATTATGAAAATTATTTTTATTTCATGAATAAAGTGACCAAAATGATCACATATATATAATCTTTTTAAAAAGCCTAATACACAATGAAATGAATTCACCAAATTAATAACATTTAAAGATTTGTTATAAAGGAGTGTCTTTTATCTTACCTACTAAACTTAAAAAAGGTTAACACAAAAAAAAGGTTTTATAAAAAGATAAACCTCCTATTTCAGCATTCAATCATCTCTATAAAAAGAATGAGTCAATAAAGATATATTCCTGACATTTATAATGCACAGTAGCTTATCTTTTATTAATAATAGTAAATTCTGTCCGATTTGCCCATGGCTGTCGTTGCTATAATACAACCATGCACTGCGCTCTCCACAACGACAAAGAAGTTTTAATAGCTAATGTATTTCCACCACAGAAAAATGCTTGCTGTAGCTCTGCTAAAAGATTTATTTACGGAGAAGAGAAAAACACCCAAGTGTTTGGGTGCACATGCTGAAAAGTTTATGAGCACGCTTCCCGCGAGCGTATAATGAGCGCGCTTCCCGTGCGTGCGCCTTTTTGAAATAACGACCTCGAGCGCGCAAAAGACCCGATACGTGAACTAATCAAGGGACCCTCTTGACATCGCTTCTGTGAATGGCTCCTTCTCAGCAAGCAGGGGCGCCATTGCCAATAATTGAATCGAAATTATAAAAAAATAGAAAACCTTTGCAGCACAGAGGATTTTTTTAACTGCTTGTGCCGCCCCCCATGTGACATAAAGAAAGGCCGTCCCGGGCGACTGCCCGGTTCGCCTGTGCCTAAAACCGCTACTGCTTATAAAAATGAATATTGGCCTTCAGAGTTAATAGCAAAACCCGAAAAGTGGATCATTGCAATGTGTGATTACAACCCCTTTAAACACAGGCAATAAAAAAAGGATTCATTTTATAAAAAAAAGTTACATATAGAACCTTTAAGATGTTTGACAATGTTAAGATAAATATGTTGCATTTTGGCATTGTTTTTGACTTATTTATGAACTATTTATGGTCACTGTCCCTGTAAAAAAAAAAAAATGTACAAAAACTTGTGAATGAACTTGACTGTTGATGTCTTAAATAATAATATCAAATAACCAACATTTCTCAAAATGGATATATCTCCTTTTGCAATTAAACTCTTCATATAATATGCATCTTCATCAACTGTTTAATACTGACTGACTATACTACTGGTCTTTTTTTATTCCATGAAGCCACATTAGACGCTTTTCACACTAAGCATTGTAGGAATCATGAAGTATGATGCATGACCCCAGCACTGCAGCACAAGCCATAATACAGCACAACTATATAAAGTTAAGGAAACAAAGAAACAGAGAGCAATATAGGTCTTCCTCAGGTGTAATATTTGCTCTTATGCAGCGATACTCTACTGCGGTGTTTCAAAGACATTCGTCATTATTTTACTTTGATACACAATCAGGTGGTAAAAGCAGGTCATTTGTAACTTCAATAAGCAGTTTCTATGCAATGATGGGGCTTAAATCCTGATCTTTAAACTCCATCTTCATAAAAATGTGTTTCTGCTAAATTAAACGTTATTAGACATTAAACATAATTAATAATAATTAAATATTCAAATATTGTCAGATATTTAAACTCTAAATAGAGTTTGTTGGTATTTTTCATTTCATATCATTGTTTTGCTTTCTCTTGTTTTGTTCTGCTGTGCTCTCTCGCTTGCAGTTGGTTTTGATGCTTTACATGTAAAAAATGTTTGGAAATCTGTCGCTTTGTGCCATTAAACTGGAGTTAACATTTTTTTTCTCTTTCTTTGCCTTAGACTTGATGGGCCTGAAAGAGGAGACTGAAGTACTGAATGAAATGGAAGAGAAAGATCAATATAACAATCATCATAATTTAATTACTGGAGATTTTGTTTTTAGTTGCTCACAGACTGAAAAGACTTCTCAAAAGACAGGGACTGGTAGTCATTTCATCTGCCAACCGTGTGGAAGGAGTTTCAAACAGAAAGGACGCTTTAAAGACCACATGAGAGTTCACAATGGAGAGAAACCTTTCACCTGCAAACAATGTGGAAAAAGTTTCAACCAAAAAGGAGTCCTTAACAGGCACATGAGAATTCACACTGGAGAGAAGCCTTACATTTGCGTTCAGTGTGGAAAGAGTTTCAGTGAACATGGAAACCTTAATGTCCACATGAGAATTCACACTGGAGAGAAGCCTTACACCTGCCAACAGTGTGGAGCAAGTTTCAATCTAAAAGGAACCCTTAACAGGCACATGAGAACTCACACTGGAGAGAAGCTTTACAAATGTCCTGACTCTGAGTGTGGAAAGAGTTTTGATCATCATGCAAACCTTAAAACCCATTTGAGAGTTCACACTGGAGAAAAGCCTTACACCTGCCCTCAGTGTGGAAAAAGTTTCAACCGAAAAGGAAACATTAATGCCCACATGAGAATTCACACTGGACAGCAACCTTACTCCTGCCAACAGTGTGGCATGTCTTTCAACCGAAATGGAAACCTTAAGGTCCACATGAGAATTCACACTGGAGAGAAGCCTGTTCACCTGCCAACAGTGTTGTATAAGTTTCACTCTAAAAGGAAGTCTTAACAGGCACATGAAAATTCACACAGATGGAATTCCCATAGCAGAAATATCAAATCCAGTCCTGGGCGCCAGATCTTTTCAAAAGATATCCGTTTTGTCCAACCCGGTCTCATCCCAAGACGTCATATAACTGACGTTTTGGGACGTCTTTTGACCATACGTCAATATTCGCCTTTTTAGGGCCCCCTTAAACGTCGGTAGATGAGGTTATGGGATCCTAACTCTACCCCATACCTAAACCTAACCCGTCACCTAACTGACGTTAAAGGTAAAGCGTCAGTTGTATGACGGCCCGGGATCGCCATCTACCGACGTTTAAGGGGGCCCTAAAAAGGCGGATATTGACGTATGGTCAAAATATGTCCCAAAACGTCAGTTATAAGACTTTTTGGGATGAGACTGTGTTATTTTGTCTGGTGGGCAACCAAGCAAAACCTGTCAACAGAGCTTCATATCTTTTACTTCAAGACTCTATAAACAGCCTTTTATCAGCCAGAGAGTTTGAATGAGAAAGCTGAATCAGGAGACAAAGTGATGATGATAATAAAAAGAACAAAGAGGGTTTTTTTCTTAGTTGTATATGTTTCAATGCTCAGATTTCATCTAGATGTTACACTGTTCAATGCTTAGACTTCATCTGACCAGTACGATTCCAACAAGTGTTATACAAATATGAAAAACAATGGAAAATCACTGCTTGATTACATCGTCCTGTGACGTTAAAAACCTTGTAGTAGGGTAGGAAGGGGGGGTTCACCTGCACCCGAAAGATATATTTTTTTAACCTAGTTTTTTGTAATCCTTAAGGTGTCTAGAAAAGGAATTTTGATGTTCCCCGTGCAAATTTTTGTCCCATATGTGATTTTTTGTATCATCTTTTGTGTCCGTGCTTGATTTTTGGCTGCGGAAAATGAAAACTTTAAACCTACATAGAATCTGAACAATACATCCTACAGACACAATCTACCCCATTTTCTCTTCGTCTTTGCATGAGGAATTGATAGATATGAGGATTGTCTTGATTAGATGATGTATAGTGCATAAAAACTCAAATAAACACCAAAAAATGGTGACATTGGATCACTGGAACTCCTCCCCTATGGACCCTTCTGATATATGTTTTCTAACTTTTGTATTTTTACAGTCTTTAGGATGTCTAAGAAGCAAATGTTGATGATCCCCACCTGAAATATTGTCACATGTATGTATTTTCTGGCTATATTGGTTGCCACCCTGGATATCCAAAAAAGCAAAAAAGCACATTTATAGGCAGTCTGTTTTTCTCCTTTAGTTTTCGATTTGATAAATCTCCTCCATTTTTCATAACTGGCTATGTAAATTATTGTTGAGCACATATTGAGCTTGTTCCCAACGTCAATTGTTGCACATTAAAAATATAACATAGATATTTTAATTAAATAATACATTTTAAGATACAACGTGATCAGAAATATGCATTAATT